ACAACAGATATTACAACAAAGACCATAGGCCGTTGTCTGCAGCCCAATTCTATGTACAGTAGAGGGGGCCTCTATACAATGTTGTATTCAACATTGTTTATCCTATAAAGGTTTGAAATGATCTCACACACCGTTTTGATGTCAAACATGTTTCCTCAATTCAGTTGACTGATTTCTTCGTAATACTGTTGTATTTTCCATCACTTCAACAACGATTTTCCAATGCATGTATAAATTTATGGGAGGTAGTTGAAGAAAGCCAGCTAGCTATGCGGGAGATGCATAAAGAAGCAACCCAAACATGAGTCTTGCGACCATAAATAAGGGTTTCCATGATAACAAAGGAGAAAATGGGATGTTACAGGAGCATCTTGTAGGGTAGAAAACACAGTGCAACGTTAATTATAATTTGTTGAGTGTGTGTGAAACGGATATTTACCATGACTTTGTGGAAGGACGAGCAGGCTCCTACAGATATACAGTGCCTTTGGAAAGTATTCAGACCCCTTGACTTTTTCCACATTTTGTTAGCCTTATTCTAAAATTGATAAAATTGTATTTTTTCCCCCTCATCAATCTACACACAATAACCCATAATGACAAAGCAAAAACAGGATTTTAGAATCTTTTGCTAATTTACTACAAATAAAAACAGAAATATCACATTTACATAAGTATTCAGACCCTTTACTCAGTACTTTGTTGAAGCACCTTTGGCAGCGATTACAGCCTCGAGTCTTCTTGGGTATGACGCTACAAGCTTGGCACACCTGTACTTGTGGAGTTTCTCCCATTCTTCTCTGCAGATCGTCTCAAGCTCTGTCAGGTTGGATGGGGAGTGTTGCTGCTATTTCCAGGTCTCTCCAGAGATGTTTGATCCGGTTCAAGTCCGGGCTCTGGCTGGGCCACTCAAGGACATTCAGAGACTTTTCCCGAAGCCACTCCTGCGTTGTCTTGGCTGTGCGCTTAGGGTCGTTGTCCTGTTGGAAGGTGAACCTTTGCCCCAGTCTGAGGTCCTGAGCGCTCTGGAGCAGGTTTTCATCAAGGATCTCTCTGTACTTTGCTTCGTTCATCTTTGCCTCGATCCTGACTAGTCTTCCAGTCCCTGCCACTGAAAAACATCCCCACAGCATGATGCTGCCACCACCATGCTACACCGTAGGGATGGTGCAAGGTTTCCTCCAGACGTGATGCTTGGCATTCAGGCCAAAGAATTCAATCTTGGTTTCCTCAGACCAGAGAATCTTGTTTCTCATGGTCTGAGAGTCTTTAGGTGCCTTTTGGCAAACTTCAAGCGGGCTGTCATGTGCCTTTTTTGTGTTCTTGTGTGAAGAAATGTAAACATAATTATGCATTGTGCCTTTAGCTACAACGTAACACATCTGGTTTGTTACTGAGAGTAGGAGTAAAATAAGTGCAGCGTTCTGTATGTAAGCCCTGTTGTGAACCATCTCATAAAGCTTTATGTTCTAGATTCAACACGTCACAGTGATTTGGAGCAGTAGCTCTCTTGGCTAAAACAAGCTGTAAGTTCAAAGAAGTGCATAGTTGTTCTGACTTCCATTGATCCAGCTGGCACCGCCGCTCCTGCTGACTCCATGTCTAGGTGTGTGATTCTGTCACGCGACGTGTATGCGGTCAGCGAAGTAAAACGCAGGACACAGAGCGGCTGGCAACGTACTTTACTGAGCACAGTAATAAACGTTCAAAAACAACAAACCTCCAAACAGGGAGGAAAACACAAATACCCGTAATACAAAGCAACTGCCGAAATGACAAAGAACAATGCTCGGTGTGCGCCCAGTGTAAGGCGCCTAGACACCTGCCCAGAGGGAAGTTACAACCCCTACCCGTTCCACAACGGCCATGGTCTCACCTATCGGTGGATTTTGTCACGGACCTTCCCCCCTCCCAGGGGAACACCACGATCTTGGTCGTTGTGGATCGGTTTTCTAAGGCCTGCCGTCTCATTCCTATGCCAGGTCTCCCTACAGCCCTACAAACGGCCGACGCCCTGTTTACTCACGTCTTCCGGCACTACGGGGTGCCTGAGGATATAGTGTCTGATCGGGGTCCCCAGTTCACCTCTAGAGTCTGGAGGGCGTTTATGGAACGTCTGGGGGTCTCGATTAGCCTTACCTCAGGTTTTCACCCTGAGAGTAATGGGCAGGTGGAGAGAGTAAACCAGGATGTGGGTAGGTTTCTGAGGTCCTATTGCCAGGACCGGCAGGAGGAGTGGTCGGGGTATATCCCCTGGGGAGAGATAGCCCAAAACTCACTCCGCCACTCCTCCACTAATCTTACGCCTTTTCAGTGTGTGCTGGGTTATCAGCCGGTCCTGGCACCCTGGCATCAGAGCCAGATCGAAGCCCCTGCGGTGGATGAGTGGTTTCGGCGCTCGGAGGAAACATGGAACGCTGCGCATGTCCATCTGCAGCGGGCTATCAGGCGGCAAAAGGCGAGCGCCGATCGCCACCGCAGTGAGGCTCCGGTGTATGCACCGGGAGATCGGGTCTGGCTCTCGACCCGAAACCTGCCCCTTCGCCTGCCCTGCCGGAAGCTGGGTCGGCGGTTTGTGGGGCCATTTAAAGTCCTGAGGAGATTGAACGAGGTATGTTATAGGTTACAACTGCCCATTAATTACCCCATTAACCCCTCGTTCCATGTGTCTCTCCTCAGGCCGGTGGTAGCTGGTCCACTCCAGGAGAATGAGGTACGAGAGGCTCCTCCGCCCCCACTAGACATCGAGGGGGCTCCGGCGTATTCAGTCCGTTCCATCGTGGATTCGAGGCGTCGGATGGGGGGTCTGCAGTATCTCGTGGAGTGGGAGGGGTACGGTCCGGAGGAACGGTGCTGGGTCCCTGGGAGGGACATCCTAGATCCCTCCCTGTTGAGGGATTTCCACCGGAGTCATCCGACTCGCTCTGCTCCGCGTCCTCCTGGCCGTCCCCGAGGCCGGGGTCGGCGCACGGCTGGAGCCGCGCGTCAAGGGGGGGGGTACTGTCACGGATTCAGCTGAGGCTGCTCCTCCTCCTTGCTCGGGCAGGCTTCGGCGTTCGTCGTCCCCGGAGTACTAGCTACTGCCGATTGATGTTTCGGTGTTTGTCTTGTTTGGTCTTTATTGTTTACACCTGTTTCCCATTATGTTGGATTGTATTCCCTATATTACTCCCTGTCTCTCATTGGTTATTGTGTGTGATTGTTCTTTGTCATTTCGGCAGTTGCTTTGTATTACGGGTATTTGTGTTTTCCTCCCTGTTTTGGAGGTTTGTTGTTTTTGAATGTTTATTACTGTGTTCAGTAAAGTACGTTGCCAGCCGCTCTGTGTCCTGCGTTTGACTTCGCTGACCGCATACACGTCGCGTGACAATACCAATACAGGTGATCCAAAAATACTTTGATGTACAATATAATTCATTGATTTAGAGCGGTAGAAAGCCAGTTACATAATAGCCTATTTTCACCACATACTACAGGCCTAATATAACTATACCCCCTACCTTATGTTGTTGCTGTTACCCTGGAAAGGCAGCCATGTGAAATTTAAAACAGGTTAGCATCAGTTTGAGACAGAACTGTGCCATGGTGGAAGACCTGCCTAGATGCTCAGGTCTATGCAACCTACGCAGCCTGTCCGACTGGCTCTGGAATGTGGAGGTGGAATGATGATTTCTATGGAAGCTTATTCAGCTGTAACAATCTGATGAGGAATTCCTTATTCCTTCTCAGGTGGTGATGGGAGTTTACCGTCACTTTGCAAGTAAAACGGACGTTTTAACCTACTTTCCCTCTTTGAAGCAGCGCTTCTTTCCACAAAAATGGTTGTAGCAGAAAATAGCTGCTTTTTCTGAACTTATGAATAATTTTGCAGTTGGTATTAAGGCTTGAATAACTCTTGATGTGATGAAATCGTGTGTATAAACAAGATCCACTGCACTACAGTAACTGTGAGAGATGACATGCTGTTCATTGCACAATGGCCTTTATTTCAAAATGTATGTACAGTATGAAATCAATTAGACTACAGACTTTTAGGATTGTACAATAGCAGTACTGTTTCGTTTGCATATTTTTCACTCAATGGAAACAATTAGATATATTAATTGTGCTTTAGATTCACTCATTACATCCCACAGTGACAAGCTCGGAAGCATAGGCAAATCCTCAAAGATATCAAACTAATAAGCATGAAATGATTGCATATCTGTAAAAATAATTCAATTGCCCTACGTACATATTGAGTTATGAAAAAAAGCTTATGTTAAGATGATAGGTTTATCAGCATAGGATGTTACTGTAAAGAAATGCTAGAAATGAATTTACTTCAGTTAATATAAAGTATGCAAGATTTAAAAAGAAAGCAGGAGCACATATGAATGCATTATTAGAGAGGGTATTACAGTAGCATGTTTCTCCGCGCACTTCGATAATAGCAGGTTTAACGAAGGTGTAAATTATGTGTTTGGGGTTGATGGAAAGTATAACGTCTCAATTACAGAAAGCTCAGGGCAAGCTTTAACATATCGCCTTTTGCTCTTCTTTCTCTTTTGCTTGTACAGATATAATAACTTTGGCTTAAGGTTGTACAGTAAAAGCTAATTGTACAGTTGGCTGCCTAGATGTTGGCTGCCTAGATGTTGCACAATGACAGGTCATTCTGTGGCTGGACCATGGCTAGTGTGGGTGTTGCACAGTAATGGGTAACTGTGCTGTCGTTGGACCATAGCTGAGTAGTAAGTGTTGTATAACAGGTAACTCTGTAGCAGGAACGTATGAAAATGTGTGCACTCACTACTGTAAGACGCTCTAGATAAGAGCGTCTGCTAAATATGTAATTTAAAAATTTAACGTGGCTGATGCAGGATGCTGGTGTGGAGGAAAGATTGGTGTGGCTCTAGTCTAGGCCTGGTAGCACAGAGTAAGGGTTTGTTTGGCTCTAGTCTAAGCCTGGCAGGACAGAGTAAGAGTTGGTGTGGCTCTAGTCTAGGCCCGGCAGCACAGAGTAAGGGTTGGTGTGGCTCTAGTCTAGGCCCGGCAGCACAGAGTAAGGGTTGGTGTGGCTCTAGTCTAGGCCCAGCAGCACAGAGTAAGGGTTGGTGTGGCTCTAGTCTAGGCCCAGCAGCACAGAGTAAGGGTTGGTGTGGCTCTAGTCTAGGCCCGGCAGCACAGAGTAAGGGTTGGTGTGGCTCTAGTCTAGGCCCGGCAGCACAGAGTAAGGGTTGGTGTGGCTCTAGTCTAAGCCCAGCAGCACAGAGTAAGGGTTGGTGTGGCTCTAGTCTAGGCCCAGCAGCACAGAGTAAGGGTTGGTGTGGCTCTAGTCTAGGCCCGGCAGCACAGAGTAAGGGTTGGTGTGGCTCTAGTCTAGGCCCGGCAGCGTAGGTTCTGGTCTTTGAGGCTGTTGAGGGATTTGTTGCGGTACTCTGTCGGGGCAACACACCTCAGGGACTCCAGAGGGGAAAGGTTGGCCTTTGTCTGGGACATCCAGCGCACCAGGCCATTGATGTTGCAGTCACACGTCCAGGGATTGTCATGGAGATACACATCCTTTAGGCCTGGCAGGAGGCAGAGGACAATCAGATTATGCTTAATATGACACTATTTTTAATAATAGAAATATATATTACTTTTTATGAACAAATGTTCAAACATGAAGTACACATATGACACATATAGTCCACAAATACATTAGAAAGAATGCCTAGAATAGTTTGCTGTAAATGATCAGTCTCTTACCAGACAGCTGGGTGAAAATGTTCCCATCCACGGTCTTAAGCCGGTTTCCACTGAGGGCCAGCTGGGAGAGCTTGGGTGTGTGTCTAAACAGGGCCTGGGGCAGCCTCTCCAGCTCGTTGTTCCTCAGGTAGAGCTCCTGCAGGCTGGACAGGCCCTCCAGAGTGGCTGAGGTCAAAGTGGACAGCAGGTTATTATCCAGCACCAGCATCTCCAGGGAGGCCAGAGGCTTGAAAGCCCCAGCTGAGATGCTCTTCAGGCTGTTGTTGTCCAGGTTGAGGAACAGCAGCTCTGTCAGGCCCACAAAGCCCTTGGGTGAGATCCTCTCGATTCGGTTGAGGGCCAGATCCAGGACCTTTAGGGCGATCAGGGGCTTGAAGGCGTTGGAAGGAAGGGCAGTCAGAGAGTTGAGGGGTAGGTCCAGGTCTGAAAGGTTCCTCATGCCTGTGAACATGTCTGGTTTGACACTGGAGATCTGGTTCTGGCCTAGCATGAGGAAGCGGAGGTTGATGAGGTCCTGGAAGCCTTTCACGGGGAGTTTGTTGATCTGGTTCCCATACAGATTGAGCAGCATCAGCCTCTGGGCTCCAGAGAAGGCCTGGGGGTGTATTGATTTGATGGCGTTGCGTTCCAAGTTGATGCTTTCGATCTTGGGGATGGGTTTCAGGATGTTTGCTGGGAGGTCTACTATTCCGTTCTCACCTGGGACATGGACCACAGAAATAGCATGAGAAATCAATCACAGTGGAAGATGGTAATAACAGCCTCTTTCTTGTGGTTAAGGTCAATAAAAGAGCCTATCGATTCCGAGCCAAATAGCTGGCACATACTTTAAAAAGTGGGACGGTGGTTTTCCCACAATTGCAAACAATACGTGGACTCACCCATTTTTAGGATCCAGGAATCAGGGGGCAGTTTGGAGGGAAACATCCTCATCCCCTTCTTGTGGCAGTTGACCTCTGACCTTTCAGGGCTGGTTTTCTTGGTGCATTTACAGACATCAGGACAACTCTCTACAACCTCTTCCACCCAGAACACCAGCACTGCTAAACAGGCCACCAGCTGCATGCCTACTGCACCCACAGGGAAAAGAACAAGTATTCAGCACTTGCAGACTGATTAAGTTTGATGATTTAGTTTGTGTTGGAAGGACGATTAGAAATTCAATTTAAGATAATCCTATTTAAATTATATGAGCATATTAAGAATTAACATCTTGCAGGTGCAGGGTGAACGGCTGCAGAGCTACAGTTTATGCTGTTAGACTGATCAATATTTTCTCATCAGCATTTACCTGAACAGTTGGTGAGACTTATAAACCTCTTCTTTAAGCCGTCTACTTTGTTTTGCCTCTCAAAGGGAGGGAGTCAGATTTTCTTAAGCTGCCTGTTCTGCTGTCGTGTAACTTCCTGCTAGTCAGAGTGAATTAGCCCAGCCGTCTGCCCACCAGCTACAGCAGCCAGCCTGCTAAACTCCCAGCTTAGCACCACTGCAATGTCACAGTCCCTTGAGAAAGATGGCATCCTCAGATTATGGATCCAAGCCACCTCACACAAATGGAGAAATCTCTGCCAAGTGAACTCCTCCATGCCCCAGAGGAGTGAATGGGGGTGTGTGAGAAAGAGGACAACTCAGTCAGTATGTGCCAGTATGTGTGTGTGTGTGTGTGTGTGTGTGTGTGTGTGTGTGTGTGTGTGTGTGTGTGTGTGTGTGTGTGTGTGTGTGTGTGTGTTTGTGCCAGGAGTGATATACAAACTACGCACAGATTGATGTCATGGAGTCTCAAAGACAGAGAGAGGATGGTGGGTACCTCAGAAGGCATGGCTCCCTGCCACCCTGACAGCCAACGTCATGGAGATTATACTGAGGTTCTGTGACTCGAGAGGAGCCCAGCCGCACACAGACAGACCGAAAGGAAGTCATGCTCGCAACTGTAATTCCTTATGAGGGGAGAGGAGCCATCACACATGTCACTCTCTGTTACAGAGGGCCAAGTGCTGAGAGAGAGAGAGAGAGAGAGAGAGAGAGAGAGAGAGAGGAGAGAGAGAGAGAGAGAGAGAGAGAGAGAGAGAGAGAGAGAGAGAGAGAGAGAGAGAGGCCAAGCTCCCCAGTAGTGAAAAGGGATTACAGAGACACATGTTAAGAATAGCTGCAGATCGACGCGTCTGCTGAGTGAGACAATTTTATTGTATGCTAAAGTTTAAAAGCTCTTTTCAAGCCTAGCCAACAGCAAGACAATATGCATGCCATCTGGAGCAGCGTAATTAGGGTGTTCAGCCGCACCAGTCAACTCCTCTTCACTGGAGGGGAGAGAGAAGCCCAGCTAACACACACTGAGTTTTGAGGAACACACAAGAACTTCTTCAGCAATATGATGTCATTCACAAACTCTACTCAACTCAATGTGGTGGGCTGGGCATTCACTTGGCATGGCTTGGCTGAAATCATTCCAATATGATTGCCAATTACAGCCAATTGATCAAATACTGTTTCTATTGAGTGGCCCGCCTCAGTTTCTAGTGCATACTGACAGGAGGAAGATGATAAAAGCAATGTGTAAGGTCTTGTAAAGGAATGGATGTGAGAAGTCTCTATTAAACAAGAGAGCTAGCTGTCTTTACATCCAGTCAATGGCGTGTCATTGATTTCTCTCCCATTTCTATGTTATTCTTCAGTTAGCTCCTTCATAAAGTACCCTGACTGTATTTCTACTGCACTGCACAGCTGTAGGCTCTAATGCACACCCAATGATGCCTTCCGTTTGGATACACCCACATCTCCGAAAATGATCGTTTTCGCTGCTGGTTTCAGCATGAGGGTTTAACCAACCAGATTTCACAATATCAAAGTTGGCCATTCTTAAAACGTTATTCTTTGTCATCTTGCTTCTGAACTTGTCACAGTGCCCTAAATGTTCTGTACAGTTTTACTTTGTAAAATAATTATTTATGTTTTATTATAGATTGCACCAACCTCCCTTTGCATCTCTAAGGTAACGCCATCCTTCACACTAGTTTTGACAGATGTACTCTGCTCTCTTACAAACTACAGTGAAAAGCAGTTTGTCACACAATGCAATACATAATAAAGAACATTGTCAAACGCTTCATTTTATTTCACCTGACATATAGCAGTAGAAGTCTGACAAAGACTAAGAGGCCATTGGACTAATGTTATTCTCACTATTTGCATGAAATATGTATTTATGTGCCAGTACTGACTACATTATCCAGCAGATGCATTGTGCTAAAACTGAGGTGTGATAGATTTGAGTTCTTGAACGTTATCGTCTTCCCGTTGAAGCTAAAGAGCCAAAAGTTTTCCGGTTTTCCGATTAAAAGTTGTGAGATTACTTTCCTAATGACAGATCTTTGGGTTACTAAAAGACAGCTGTTGTGTCTAATGATGCTCACTTAAGCGTGGCAGCCCAAGCACCTACTCCCTATGTAGAACATTTAGACGGCTGAGTCAACCATTGTCTAATTAACAGAGAAATCAAGCACTGCTATCACTAATGGAAACTTCCTCATGATCTTCATTACTACTCTCAGGTTATCTTTCGCTCTGCAGTTTGAGTCCCCTGGATCTGATATAGGACCCCCAAAAGAACACAATTACCATGGCAATAGAAACATCTGCAGCTCAGGTGTGATTGTGGCTCACTTGCAGCATCTGGTGGTCAAGTGTATTATCACTTTAGCATTACTGTACATTAAACAGTCACTCAGAACCGTCCTATACCCTATAATTTCCCTCCTACAGAGCTGTATCTTGACTGTGTTTGGATGAAGCGTCCTGCTGTTAACAGATACATAGCTGGTTGTTTAAACATTTCTGACCCTGCTTAGTAGCAGAAGGATGGAGCGTTTGGCGTCTGGAGTGAATTTAGAGGACTCACAGCTTCTGGTCGAATAGAAAGGGGTTTTAACTGGATTCTTAAACTGCCTCCTTTCTCTCCCTCTCCTCTACCTCTTCTCTCCCTATATCACCCTCTTCTCTCCCTCTCTCTCCCTCTTCTTTCCCTCTTTCCTCTCACTCTTCTCTCCCTCTCCTCTCACTCTTCTCTCGCTTTCTTTCTCTCATCTAACATAATCTATGCTTTAGTCTTAAGACAGGCCACTTCCAAACATTTGACTAGGTCCGGAGTAATGGAACACTCCATTGTCAATTATTTCGACAGGGATAGGTGGTCTAGCTGAATTGAAACCTGATTTGGGTGACTGGAAACAAATGAAGAGACATCAGCCACTAAAGCCTGAAATGTTCATTATTTCAACACTTCAATCTATCATGAATATTCTATTTGCATTATTTAGTGCTGATGGCACCACATATCACACCACAGGTATAGCTGTCAAATAGGGAATGGTGATAGGCACTTGTTCCATTCCATCTTTTGTACGCTGCCTACGGCACCTGTCAGAATACCAGAATCCCAGTCTCACATGCACATAGTCAGACACAGATTCCACCATGACAGGCCCAGGATACATACATGCTTCAAACCATGCCTGACAGACATGAGTTATGGAGAACAATCAGAAGTTTAGGAGGAAGTGCATTTCAAAGTCTACTGTAAAGTTGAAACAATGCCGTGAGTTTCAGACAAGTGTACTGAATTCACAACTCGACATCCATTTCATAAAATAAGCTTTTGCTCAATTATCATCAATCAAGGATTGTGAATACACCGTTTTTCCTCAAGAGTTTTCAAATAAATTCAACAAATATTACAGTAACCAATCCTTTTCATAAAATGATGTTTTACTCTTTATTATCACTAGTGAGGGTTCTGGCTCTGCTGAAAATGGGCAGCAGCCAGGAAAGAAAAAAACTGTTGGATTATGTAAGGGAAGAACAAACAGCAAAGGAGGAAAAATCGCAGTGTTTTATGATTCACTATTTCTCACTTCAAAGGGTTCTTAGAATCAATTACCCTTGTCAAAATAGCAGCCTCTGTGTTCTAGCGTTTCTCCCTCCTGTATTCCACAAACCATGACCTACATGTTGTGATTCTGAGTAAACACAGCTGAATGCAAAGCAACGCTGCTTTACTTTGATGTTATAAAATACTATTGAGTTACATAATGAGGCCGACCTTTACTGAATAGCAAAGTTATTACAGTAATTCCAAAAAGTGAGTAAATCTCTGATGCTTTGCAGCACACTAGATTTGTCTGAGGACTTCCAGATATGCACTGGAAACGTGTCACCTTAGGAACAAACTGACAGTTTACTAGGGGCCTCCCATTCCCTTACTCCTGGTATTTCAATGATGGCACACAACGAATCAGGTCTGACTTATCTGCTTTGAAACTGTCAAGAAAATGGGACAGTCCAGGTATAATCCAAACAATTCTTAGAATCCTACACACACTCAAAACAGATATATTTAATTATTCGAATCTAAATGAAAACCTGTCCTGTGTGATATAATTAGTTTAAGCAATATAGGTACATGTCTAAACACAAAGTATAGGTCAGGTGGACTTGATGGGTCTGTGAGGACAATACACACATCTTCATGCATTGGTTTCATAGCAAGACTGCACAGATCCTTTACCATAATGTACGGTAGGTTGAAGGTTTAAAAGGGGATAGGATCTTACAGGTGCTTACCAGTGTTTACGTGATTCAATCACCAGCCTATTCTCTACGTTCATGCAATTACTCAAATTACAGTCTAAATTATTTATAGATTCATTAACATACCATAATGATCTCTCTGCAATCCCCTAGGATCTGGTATGGAAATATACCACTAATTAAAAAGGAGAGATTGTAGACAACATGGCAAAAAGCAAATCAGGTGCTTACTGACCTATAAGTACAATGTTTATTTGGCCGGTTACTTCTTGACCTCTATGCTATCCCATATCAGTGAGTGACCTTGTTTCTTAAACTCAACTAGGTGTTGGGTTGGTGTCTGTGGTGGAGGCAGAACAGTGAGGGGAGAGGAAGAGAGCCTAGAGTAGAGACAGAGGCCGACTGCAGGCTAGACCACTGGGTATGGGAGCTGATCAGCTAAACTCTACTTCTCTGAGACCACCACTGCTTCCTATTATGTTCCTATCCTGCCAGAGCTAAAGCGCTGCCTGCTGAAGCGTTAGGGGAATCTAAAAGGGTTAAGGTTAGGTGAAGGGTTAGCTAAAAGGGTTAAGGTTAGGGTTAGGAGAAGGGTTAGCAAACATGCTAAGTACACTACATGACCAAAAGTATGTGGACAGTGGACACCTGCTCCTTGAACATCTCATTCCAAGTTCATGGGTGTTAATATGGAGTTGGTCCCCCCTTTGCTACTATAACAGCCTCCACTCTTCTGGGAAGGCTTTCCACTAGATGTTGGAACTTGCTTCCATTCAGCCACAAGAGCATTAGTGAGGTTGGGCACTGATGTTGGGCGATTAGGCCTGGCTCGCAGTAGGCGTTTCAATTCATCCCAAAGGTGTTCGATGGGTTTGAGGTCAGGGCTCTGTGCAGGCCAGTCAAGTTCTTCCACACCGATCTCAACAAACCATTTCTGTGTGGAACTCGCTTGTGCATGGGGGCATTGTCATGCTGAAACAGGAAAGGGCCTTCCCCAAACTGTTGCCACAAAGTTGGAAGCACAGAATCGTCTAGAATGTCATTGTATGCTGTAGCGTTAAGATTTCCCTTCACTGGAACTAAGGGGCCTAGCCCGAACCATGAAAAGCAGCCCCAGACCATTAATCCTCCTCCACCTAACTTTACAGTTGGCACTGGGTATTCGAGCAGGTCGCGTTCTCCTGGCATCCGCCAAACCCAGATTCGTCCGTCGGACTACCAGATGGTGAAGTGTGATTCATCACTCCAAAGAACACATTTCCACTGCTGCAGAGTCCAATGGCAGTGAGCTTTACAACACTCCAGTCGACGCTTGGCATCGCGCATGGTGATCTTAGGCTTGTGTGCGGCTGCTCGGCCATGGAAACCCATTTCATGAAGCTCCCAATGAACAGTTATTGTGCTGACATTGCTTCCAGAGCCAGTTTGGAACTTGGTAGTGAGTGTTGCAACCAGGGACAGACGATTTTTACGCACTACACGCTTCAGCACTCGGCGGTCCCGTTCTGTGAGCTTGTGCGGCCTACCACTTCGCAGCTGAGCTGTTGTTGCTCCTAGAAGTTATCATTTCACAATAACAGCACTTACAATTGACCGGGGCAGCTCTAGCAGGGCAGAAATTTGACGAACTGATGGAAAGGTGGCATCTTGAAAGTCACTAAACTCTTCATTAAGGCCATTCTACTGCCAATGTTTGTCTATGGAGATTGCATGGCTGTGTGCTCAATTTTATACACCTGTCAGCAACAGGTGTGGCTGAACTAGCCGAATCCACTCATTTGAACGGGTGTCCAAATACTTTTGTATATATAGTGTAGTTGCAAAGTAGCAAGTAGTTGAAAAGTTGCTAATTAGCAAAAATGCTAAAGTTGTCCGTGATGAGATTCAAACTCACAACCTGTGGGTTGCTAGACGTTCGTGTCATACGCCCGACCAACCTCCTTCTGTAACCATACCAAACGTAACATATCATACAAATGGAGCATCTCGGATTTACGTACGGAATAATACCAAATGCTCTGAGACCAGGTTGAAACTCATCACTCATTGTCATGCCAAACAATGATATGTTTGGCTTAACAATGAAGAATGGAGTAGGCAAGAGCACAATCAGACCTTGGACCAGGCTACCAAACACCTGCAGAGATGTGACTTTTATATGTACAGTTAAAGTCGGAAGTTTACATACACCTTAGCCAAATACATTTAAACTCAGTTTTTCACCATTCCTGACATTTCATCCTAGTAAAGATTCCGTTTTAGGTCAGTTAGGATCACCACTTTATTTTAAGAATGTGAAATGTCAGAATAATAGTAGAGATAATGATTTATTTCAGCTTTTATTTCTTTCATCACATTCTCAGTGGGTCAGAAGTTTACATACACTCAATTAGTATTTGGTAGCATTGCCTTTAAATTGTTTAACTTGAGCCACACATTTTCTATAGGTTTGAGGTCAGGGCTTTGTGATGGCCACTCCAATACCTTGACTTTGTTGTCCTTAAGCCATTTTGTGAAGTGCACCAGTCCCTCCTGCAGCAAAGCACCCCCACAGCATGATGCTGCCACCCCTGTGCTTCACGGTTGGGATGGTGTTCTTCGGCTTGCAAGTTACCCCCTTTTTCCTCCAAACATAACGATGGTCATTATGGCCAAACAGTTCTATTTTTGTTTCATAAGACCAGAGGACATTTCTCCAAAAAGTAAGATCTTTGTCCCTATGTGCAGTTGCAAACCGTAGTCTGGCTTTTTTATGGCGGTTTTGGAGCAGTGGCTTCTTCCTTGTTGAGCGGCCTTTCAGGTTATGTCGATATTGGACTCGTTTTACTGTGGATATAGATACTTTTGTACCTGTTTCCTCCAGCATCTTCACAAGGTCCTTTGCTGTTGTTCTGGGATTGATTTGCACTTTTCGCACCAAAGTACGTTCATCTCTAAGAGACCGAACGCGTCTCCTTCCTGAGTGGTATGATGGCTGCGTGGTCCCATGGTGTTTATACTTGCATACTACTGTTTGTACAGATGAACGTGGTACCATCAGGCGTTTGGAAATTGCTCACAAGGATGAACCAGACTTGTGGAGGTCTACAATTTTTGCCTGATTTCTTTTGATTTTCCCATGATGTCAAGCAAAGAGGCACGGAGTTTGAAGGTAGGCCTTGAAATACATCCACAGGTACACCTCCAATTGACTCATTATGTCAATTAGCCTATCAGAAGCTTCTAAAGCCATGACATCATTTTCTGGAATTTTCCAAGCTATTTAAAGGCACAGTCAATTTAGTGTATGTAAACTTCTGACCCACTGAATTATAAGTGAAATAATCTGTCTGTAAACAATTGTTGGAAAAACTACTTGTGTCATGCACAAAGTAGATGTCCTAACCGACTTGCCAAAACTATAGTTTGTTTGCAAGACATTTGTGGAGTGGTTGAAAACCGAGTTTTAATGACTCCAACCTAAGTGTATGTAAACTTCCGAATCAACTGTACATTTCTTTGGTGTTGTGCTGAGAGCAAAACAAACACTAAACTGTCCCTTTAGATTATTTTGGGGATTTACTCCCCTTCACACTGCAGTCAGTGTGATGTGTCACAAGATTTAGTAATCTCAAATTGATTGGCAGTGGGTCTGCAGCAGGGGGATAGTCTCTGGTCCTGTCCAGATCTGCAGCTCAGCAGGCAGTCAGGCCCATCCCTGACTTAGAGGACAGCCTGTCCCCTCTGACTGCATCTCAGTTGTGTTGAATTGCTTACTTTCCCAGTTACCTTCCATTGTTCTGTTTCACTTTGACTAGTCTTCTCTTTCTAGGAGACTATTCACACAGTGCAGTATCTGTTGAATTGTTTGACACCTCTGAATAACATGATGGGATAATGTAGGTGTAAACCTTTTATTTTTTTGCCAAAACGTTTGTACAATGCGAGCTTTCCAGCCACTGTCACAGGTTTGATCTGTCTCCAACGGAATTGAACGATTAAAAAAAACGTTGGGTCTTCTTCCATTGTCTTAGTTACATCCAACTTTTAGCTTTGACAAACTGCCAGATGAGCCAAACTGGATATTGTTACCAGTCCCATCCGCCCAAAATACAGAGGTTGAGTACAGAATGTTGCACAATGAGAAATCTTCTCAGATGACAGAGTCAGTAATAACGGCAGATCTAGCTGTAAACAAAAATGGCTAGTGGTAATTCAGGCAATTAACTTAAAAACAAACAGTTAAAATCAAATGAAACTTTAAATATCTACTTGTGAAACATAATATCTATCATCACTTGTATATTTTTAACTTAAAATTAAAAACATGATAAAAATAAAAAATCTAGAATATTTACATTGCATTCAGTTGCATAAAATGCCACATATTCTAGTTAACATATTGCTGCTATACTGTTAATCTACAGCTGGGTCCAAAAATACTTGTTTGGGTTTGAGAATGCACAGGATAAAAACACCAATGTAGCCAGATGGCTACCACACCACACAGCATTGTGCAGAATGTCACAGTATAAACTTGGTGAAAATACTAAATAAAGGAACATAAAAATCATGTAATTATTACGCTTTTTTTTTTTTTAAGGTCTTGAATAACTTAAGTTTTGTGGTGTTTGAATGGATACTGTCTGTAAGCACCCTTGCAGATTCAAATGGTTTTAAATAACATTATGTGCATATGGATTTGATAACATATGGGTTGTCTTCCCTCTGAAACAGTGACTGTGACTATCACAGGAGCTAAACTAAGCAATACTACCATCCAGAGGACTGGGGAGGAATTTGACAGAACCTGAGGAAGCAAAGCCAAATCATAGACTTTGTTTTAAATGAGAGATTGCATTTTATACCATCTTTTTTTTTCACTCAGTTAACACCAGGCTACATATCTCTATATAAAAAAATATACATATATTAAAGACCAAAAAAACCTTCTAAATGCAATTGTATGACAATGTCATGGTCCTGAGGGAGAACATTAGTCCTATGTCAACTGTACAGATAAAAAAAAAAAAAGAGCATTTCAATCCCATCATTCACAATATACACAAGCAATGTATACGAAAGGTATCATTACAAAATACTTCAAAATAAAAGCCCAGAAAATATTGTATACTTTGAATATGGGAGCAAAGAAAACGTTAAAAACAGACCAAATATGCAATGTTATGTTAACAGGTATCTTTCAGTTTAAAAAATGTATATGTACAAAAATATATACATCACTTCACCAGAATATGAGGTTTATTTTTTAGACCTTTTTTTTTCTCTAAACAAAGGCATTAACCAAATTCAGCCAGCCAATGAGGGTTTACCTTCCTAAAACCACGGAACTTCAAAAGAAAGCTGCTCCTGCGGTACTTCCAAGAATCAAGCTTCCCCCTTTCCAAAATTCTAATGTTCTCAAACAACTAGTTTTTTCTCTGTGAACTCATGCAGCCATGTGATGAGTTGTAAGCTTGCAGAACTGGAGGGCGTGGAGTGGGGACAGAGGTGGCGTAGGCCTCAGTAGACTCTGGGGATGATGCGGTAGCGGACCTCTCGGCAGTAGTCATCCCACGCCGAGCCGTACTTCCTCCTGCACTGGGCCTCGTCACGGGCCTCCCGGTGAACCAGCAGGATGGATAGGTAGATCACATAGAAGTATGGCAGGATGTGGGTGAACCCTACAGGGCAACCACAGACAACACAACAGGTCAACCTACACTACATCATCTCATCTTAGCACTATACACCTATCAAAACATGGTTAGCTTTACTGGGCTGTTTCTGGTGCCTCGTCAGCACAACTCCGAAAAAAATACATACAAAAAACAAATGAAAGAAATACCTGGTAACTAAGTAGCTATGAATAACTGATTAACTAGCTGAACTAGCCGTCACTCACCACAGGGTAGGGACCATGCCAGAGCCATGATGAGGTCCCCCAGGTAGTTGGGGTGACGGACTAGCCCCCACAGACCAGATACCAGGAGACTCTTCCCCGTGGCAGTAGGGATAGTCTTCAGATCTAGAAAACACAGAGTTACAGTGAGTCCAACAACTCCATCCCTTTATCAAGGCAGGGAGCCTGCAAATGGATAACGTTTAGAATAAGATATACTGGGATTGAGGACTTACGGGATAATGTGGGGTCTGATGGATTTCTTCTGAAGGCGTTTTTCTGTGAGTTTGCTTTACGGAAGATGCAAAATCCAATGACTGTAACACATGATGTAAAGAAAATGTCATACTGGTAATCATACAACAAAATGTCATACTGGTACAACAAAAATAATATCCCAGACGACATATAGGACTAATATGAACGTATGCCAATACTAAAGGTCAGAGTACTAAGTCAGTACTACCGACTAACCATTGAGAGTGACGATGCCAACGATCCAGGGCAGAGAGAGGTGGTTGGGGTGGTGAACCAGGTAGTAGGCCTGGAGACTGAAGGTGAAGGGGACCCACATCAAGTCTCCAAATGCCAGCATGAAGCCAAACCCATCATGGGTAATATCCATATAGCTCAGGACACCCTCCTGGGGAGCAACAATCAACCATTAGATTACAACCAAATAAATTGACTAAATAACACATCAGGCAGAAATAAAAAGCAGGTTTTGTACCTCATGCAAGTAGGCATCAAGCACATAGAGCAGGTGAAAGCAGTTGACCAGGATCATGGCTGGTGAGGGGTAGTCCAGGTGGTGGAGTTTCATCTCAGCCAGAGCCATGGCAGCATTGATCACCAGCTGGACAGAACAGAACAGATGTCACAGGTCTGATTAAACACTCTCGTTGAACAGACAGTTAAACTCAGACATAGACAAACTAGTTCCAAAATGTACAGTAGTATCATTTTAGGATTTATTTGATGCATTTTAGATTTTACCACTAAAGGGAGTAATGAACACAACGGGAAACTGAACACAGCTTCTTTGGTTTTTGCAGTTGTGTTTGAGGAAATAAACAGCCTAATTTACACTGTCTCTAATATACAGCTGAAATGTACTTTAATGGAAACATTTCAGTACACTACAGACAAACTTACCCAACCAATCAATCCTGGACGCAGCTCACAGAAGTATTTGAGATCAAAGCCTTTGATCCGGGGGTTAAGTTCACTTCCCATGAAGAAGTCATAAATCACACTCCCTGCGGAGGTGAGAAGAACAAATTAATCATATTATGTAGACCATTTGTAAGGCATCATCATGCAAACGGGTAGTACAGCAATACGGCTCGCAACTTGAGGATTGGAATGCATTCTCCTGTCAGAATCAATTGAACATTTGGATACTTAACCTGTTTCTATACATCTATAGCTCTGGATCAATTCATATTTGCTCTTAACCGTATGCTGGTCCATGTCATAATAGAACCATATCATCGAATCAAATCACACCCAGATTGTAGAAGTGTGTCTACCAGTGACAACTACACACAAACACCCCATTCACACCCACTCACCAGAGTTTCCTCCGGGGGCCAGCTGGTCCTGGGTTGCCCAGCGAGAGCGGACGTACAGGTAGACACTGAGCAGGACAGAGCAGAGCAGGGAAGACACAGCCAGCTGGAGGAAGTGGTTGTGAATGTAGCTGAGGTCCACCTCCTGGTGCACTGCAGCCCCCAGGGCTGCCACCGTCAGCACAAAGGCATGGAGGGCTGGTGGCGGAGGAGAGGGAGACATACAGGGTTAATACACAGGAAGTTCCTCAACCAAAAGGTATTTCCTAGTTTCCTTACATGACTTATATGTTAATGAAATACATTGGCATAGTGCTTTACTACAGATATCAAAGTGCTGGGGGTAACGGACTAGTTAATCTCAATTAATTCATTCGAAATGAGAAGAAGAAAAAAAAGGGGGGGGGAACAGGAATGCCTCACTATTCATTCTGTACTTCAGCCTGTCTCCATTCTTCAGGGGCATTCCTTCCACAACCTGGGGACAAAAGCACACAGGTTGGACATTCATTCAACCTTACAGGAAATACAGTGTACAGGAAATACATTATCTGAGAGGGATAATGTAGATAGGACAGGTTACTTTTTGTACAGTATCCCTTTTACTAATGTTTCCCAGACCCAGAGATCATGCAATTTCATGGGAGCCATATGGTGAAAGTTTCATACATTCTCAAAAAGACAAGGGTGCTTCAACGGTTTTCAAAAGGAAGATCAGGAGATGAAAATAGGAACGAAATGTCCCATTCTCTCCTGTAGTGTTCCAGCGTGGACCGTAGCCTACTCCCGCTGATTAATCTAATTTCTATCCTCTGCTCCGGCTAATGAGCAGAAATTAGATGTGAGCGCCGGTCATGTGCTCTGTCCAGGTCACAGATGGGAGTCATGTGTACTGCCTGTACTCTCAGGGGGGGGGGGGGGGGGGGGGGGGGGGGTGTTGGTGTGTGTATTTGCCAGTGTGTGTACAGTTTGAGGAGGTGGGAGTAGAAATTCTAAGAACGCAGTTGCGCCACTAGACAATCGTCTACGGTTCAGTTCTTTTTTTCTCTCCACAATGACTACAACATAATTTGGAGAGGGTAAGCTGATTCTACATGTGTGCCAACAGAGCAGTGAGGGGGTGGGTGATCCTGTTACCTTTCCGACAGGCAGCACGTAGAGCAGGGCCTGGAAGAGCAACCAGAGGACCACGATGCCAAACACCTGTAGGTCCCACAGGGAGTCCAGGGAAGGCAGAGGGGGGGAGCTCATCAGGCTAGCATCCTTCTGACCGCATACCACCATCAGGCCCAACACCGTCGCAGGCAGGAGCAGCGTCATGCAGAACACTCCTGCAAATACAGGGGGAAAAAGACACTGAGTGACTGGAGCCAAGGGAAGTCAGCCTGGCCCTTCTCCAAATGTCTGACTTATGTTTACCCTGTTACCGTCCATCAAGAAATACATTCTTGTCAAACGATATACAGACTTAGTCTGGGTACCAGTCTGTTTAGCTATCATTCCACTCCTTGCCACACTAAACATCTTTGGCATATGACACAGAGTACAAGGAGTGGAATGTTAGCTAAACAGAAGGTACCCAGGCGAATGCAGACTAGCACCCTAGTGCAATTTGATTGGCATAACAGTGTGCAGACTAGCACCATTCTTTTTTTCCTCACTCTATCCAGCACATGACAAGATGTGATAGGCATAGCAACCACATTTCTCAGTTCCTCACCTAGCCTCCCTCCAAACTCCAGCTCCGTGGTGATGGGGGCTGTGGCTACTGCAGGCTTCTGCTCAACCTCCTCTGTCTGCTCGGCTGGCTTGGCATCACCGTCATCCTTCCTGCGTCTCAAGTTGTAGCGGCTCTCTACTATTTTCTTATCTGTCTCCACATCTGCAGGCTTCTGGAGGTAGACACACATGGGACAGGCTGAGTGGTAGTATTTATTTACACAGACATGAACAACATGTCTAACCCACAGTGACTTGAGCTTATGGGGGAGGTTATCGTAGAATAAACTAAGTTGGGCCTCACACGGCTGGTGAGATGAGGGGGGGGGGGGGGGGTGTAATTCAGAGTCTACAGACGCGATAGTCCGGCGTCTCATTGTGACACCACCGTCTTCGGGGGACGCATAGCACGAATCTGCAACCACCCAAATTCCCAACCAACATAGCCTACGCGTCCTCTATTAATTTGAACATGTTGACAGTTGGAGAAATTGCTTGAGCCATGCTCAGAATTCAAAAAGTATGACAGCAAACAGTCAAATATTCTATAACACTGCTGTGTGTACACCTACATGTTCTGGTTGATAGACGCTTAAGAGGGCAGGGGGGCAGACACAGCATGAATGCCTGAGTCTAAAACGAGGGTCAATGGAGCTTGTGAATTTGATGTAGCCTACAGGCCTTACTGTTTTACAAGTCCGACAAACATGGGGAAAATACTATAGCGAAATATAAACAGTAAGACTATAATAAAGGTGCTATGTTTCACTATACAGGCCCCAATCTATGATGCAAAGCCAGTGAATTCAGTGACAGGCAGACACTATGAGCTTTCTTGTCATGCACATCCATTCTATTTGCCACGCAAATTATCTTTAGATGTGCATCTGCTATTAAAGGACAAGTGAAGACGTATCTTGTTATAGCAGGAAATACCACCATAAACCATTGTTTGGTTTTACTACTAGGTTGGCAGAGTTATATGTCATGAGCATACTGATAGCCAAAGTCTTGGTATTTGTTTAACATCAACTATGATCAAAATCCACATAAGCTGCAATGAGAAGATCTCATAACCTCTGAGGAGAGCAGAGAAAATAGGCAGCACATGTTCAAACAGCATGTGACTGACTGATGGAACATTAGCAAGACACTAAGTGGTGTGTGTGGATCAGTCAGCTGGGGCTTTGTACAGGCTGACTCCCCCATGCAGTCCTCCTAACATACAGGAGGTACAACATGCATGCATCATGACATTCCTATACCTAAAAGCCGACTTTACAGCTAGGGAATGTTCTGTTGCCTAATTCCATGACTTTGGTTAATCTTGCTTACAGCCTAACACAAACATGTATTTTGTTCTAGGAGCATTGCGATAATTATGGATTGACAGAAACTAAAAAAGTAGGTATTCCTAAAGTACATATCTGGAAGTCTCACCTCGTTGACTTTGTCAGAAGTATCATTTCCCTCTTTATTTTCATGCTTATTGTTGCTATTGTTTTCAACTGGCTTTGCCTGTGGTAAATGAAAATGGAGTGAAGGAAGCAAAAACATCAACATGCAGAAAAAGGAACCTGATGACCAACAATAGTGAAAAACAGAGGCATGTCTACACAAACATGGACCCACCGAATTAATACTATAAGTGGTTAACTCACACTACGTTAAAATACGGGTTTATTACACCATTATTAGCCAATGCTTGATCTATCAAATAATGCTCTCTCTGAGGTTATACATTTTACAGGGCATCCTGAATACACAAACACATGCAGCAAACAAACATCAGTAGAGCAATATTTAAAAACGAAAAGCCATTCTAAATCCCAGCAATGAGTGTGCCATCACGTTCCTCACCACAGGGATGAGTCTGACCTCTAGTGCTTCTTTCAGTTTGGGCTCCTTGCGTGCGGTGTGGGTCTCCGCGATGAAGGTGCCGCTGACAGTGCGTGACGAGGAGCGCCTGGTAGTCCTGGCCGGGGAACGGGAGCGACTGCGCCGCCGCGACGGGGAGCGTGAGCGAGAGCGACGGCTTGGTTTGAACCCAGTGGGATTCTGGAACAACATAAATTACAGCATTTAGCAAGGTTACAACATATTATTACATAGCTTTTACATAACTGAATTGTAAAAGGCCAGCACCAATCAACTTATCATAAAAGGATAATAACATTTGATTATGCACTACCATAAAATTATAAACTCAAAATGTCTGAACATTCTCAAGGTATAAAAACACCATCCAACTGAGAAGTAATATTATGTGACATTGATATTCATCTGAGTCATGTCTTCAGTGACATGGTTGCCATGGAGATAGATAGTGGTCCTACCTTCATGTCAGCCTCTCTGAGCTCCAGCTCAGTGCCATCCTTGTAGATAACAGTGTAGAGCTGACTCTTGGCATCGTAGCTCAGCACCTTGACCTCGTAGAACAGGCTGCTGCCGGGCCAGCGGCCCATCACTGTGTCCCCACTCTGAAACTTGATACTCGGCATCCTCATTTACCTGACAGAGAGCGAGAGAGAGCACAGGGGAAATACAAGAGGGTTTTGAGTCATTGAACTAAGACTGAAAATATTATTTCAGAGTTGAGACATGCTGCTTCTGTTCTTTCACTTTACCCTGATAAATTCAACAAAGACAGCAAATTATAAATAGGCCTATCAGGTTAGATACAATTTTTTCAAATGAGTCGGATGTGCATATCAAAACCATCCACGATGGAGGAGAAAGCTCCTTTAGAACATTTCCCCAAACACGTGCTCCAGTGGCTCTACTTGACTTTGGCGTGGGTGGATTAGGCTAGATGATACATTTACAGTGTGCATTAAGAAAATGTAAAGAGGGACAGACGCGTGTAAGGCTTGACACAATGGAGCAGTGAGGTCAGCGGTATGGAAGGGGCTGCGGAGCTCACAGAAGTGCTGACGTGCCTGTCCCCACTAGGTTTAACTATGTAGTTTTAAACTCGACATTGCCACTCCAGCCCCCTTTGTCACTCTTTCAATAGCCTTTGTACACTGGATTCCAGTAACAGTCAGGTAACATCAAAAAATGCATTTTAGAAGTTTGACAGACGTTGGAAGTTGTGCTTCTATGTCTACCCTTAAACCAACATGTCATATCAACAAGTTAAAGCCAGATATTTTTTGCCACAAACTGTCTATTTCAATACACATTACACACTCTATGAAAACATAGTTCCTCATCAAAGCAGATATTATTTAAATAGAGGGGAAAATAGATGTGAAATGCCTGACATATATTCCCTACTACTGCCCAAGTCCACTGGAATTCCACAGCTGTCCTTGTAATGACCACAATCAACTACTCAGCACTGGCCTGGGTCATATTTGTAATCTAATTTAAGTCAAAACGGTACACCACAGCTGCTGAAATGCATAAAAAAATATTTTTAAAAAGTATCATTTTCCTAATGGCCCACAGACTATAAATAGAAGCAGAGTACAGTGAGCCCACTAATCGATCCGTCATAGCTGTCACTAATCTAGTAAAGCACATTCCATAACATCTCCATTAATGAATACCAACACACCAAAAGGCTCTGTGCTGGTGTCCTGGCGTCCCTGTTGAATTCCATATGGTGAAAGATATAGCTAAACGATGCTGACAAGGTTCACTACTCCAGGAAAGATGAAAGGATGCGCTGTATGATGTGGGTGGAGCTTTGAAAGTTAGCCCCTGCCTTTTGTGTCATACCTCGGGCACACAGCCTTTTAAATACAACATCCAAAAGTAAAGTAGTTTCAATTAATTGTTCACAATACTCTAATGGGAGTTTGTAATTGGTTTTATAGAAAGTAAATTCACCCAGCCCCCGCCAGGAGTTCATTAACGTTAGAGAAGTTCAGCCGCCAGTTTTTTTGGTCATCCATCTAGCTAAGCCAGCTTCATTGATGATGTGACTGAATGATGGATGTTGCTCGCAAGTCAGTGTTGAACATATTCCCCTAGAATTAGACTACTAAAGTGTAAAGTTACTTTAGAAATATATATTTTTTTAATCTGCAAAAATGTAGACAGCTAAATATATCTCCAACCAAACATTCACAGAGCTATCTATAGCTAGCTAGTTCGCCAGAAAAATAAGAAAGTGAGCAACAAAAAAACGACCATAATCTAATAAAAAAATGACCTATCTAACAGTAGTTAGCCATTTTAGCTAGTCATAACATTGAACTGGAGTAATCAGAACGTTGTAGCTAAGCTAACTTACGTCAACTATCAAAAGGGGCAACCCAAAATATGAATCAATGTGCAAAAAGTAACTTTAGATTCATGGTAAAAATTGCTCGAATGTATCTGCTCCTTTAATGACAATAAATAGCTCCAAGTGATAGCAGGATGGAGGGAAAACGTCATAAATTCAAACCTTCGTTGGTAATGTTGACCTAACTAGCTAGCTAGTAGCAGGCTAACTTAACTCGGCGACCAGGCACATCAATGATGTCATCAACGGTCGATCATTGGTATAGGGTTAACTAACGTTAGCCAGCTATGTTTCAGGGCATGTTTACGTTTTTGCAACTGTAAACACTGCACCGACGCATAAACATGTGTAAAATAGCTGAATGTGTAGCGGCAAAACAAAGTTAGCCACTTCTATAAAATAAAAGATAAGTTGTTAGCTAGCGAAATACGCTCAGCTGCAGTGGTTACCGTAGCTAGCTAGCTGACCCCACGCAACACAAAAACACACAAGAAAACCCGTTAGCTGGCGGCCAAGTTCTCAACAAAGACATTTAAAAAGTGATCACATGTATGCACAATAAATGGTAAATATGCATAAAACCATATTACCTTTAGATAACACGTACGACTCCAATTAGGAAAATAAGATACGTATCCCGTTAAAAACGTGGAACAAAAATATAGCTAGGTATATTTGTAAAATCCGTAGCTGAACGTAGAGCGCGTTCTCCCTCCCTCTATCCGCGAAGCCCACCAGTCGATGATGGCGCGAAGCTCGCTGATTGGCTACAAAGCTTTTCTTTTTAAATTATTACATTTTCTGATTGGTCGATAGAGGATTTTAACAGAGTGCGGATTGGTTGTAACCGGCTTGTCCTACCGCTTTCTTGTTGACGGTGTCAGATTTCTAGACTGGTTGCCAGTATACCTCAGTGATCCCAACTCATGTGTCATGTGCCATCAGATTTCTACAAGCGTCAGACAAAATGGAGGATTTTATTTATTTATTATTGTATGGGAGATAATCTTTGTTCAAAAAAAAAATGAACATGTTTAAATTGATTAATTATTAATTACATTATTGATGCATGGAAAATGCTATGATATCATACAAACACTTCCTTGATTTATGTGGTAAATTGTAGAGCATTTACAACAATTTGTTAATAAAAAAAAGTAAACTGATTACAGTTGGTCATTAAAGGTTATTTAAAATTGTATTGAATTTAAAAAGTAACTATCAACGATTGAAATCCAGAAATCTGTAAATAAATGTGTATCATGTAATAAATAACTTTGTTACTGGCCATTAATTTAAAAAATGGTGGAAAAACATAAACAGACAGCACAGCTCACCAACACATTTGTTAAGCTTTCTAAAATTCTAAAGTGCTCATGCATTCTAGACCTCAGTAGATGTTGAATCTAATTGAATCTTATTGTTAATTCATCTGTCTGAGCTGAAAACAGTGCAGAACCAGTGACACTATCTACCAAATGTAAGGTTTATATGAGTTTAAGTTCACATCAACATCTTGTTGCAGGAGTTGCTTTCAACATTCCAAACCAGCTGTAACATGGTGCTATGCCATCCCCTCTATGAAGCTCTGATTTATCTTCAACACATTGGCCTAACTGACCTCACATTGTACAATTCAATGTAGGATGTTGCTTCATAGGCTTAGAGAGTGATTGCAAAACCACATTCAAGGAGTCGAGACATTGCGAAGAAATATTAAACACACACGATTACGAAGGATGATTATCATAAAACATATCTTATGTATCTCAGCAGTCAGTTATAATGTAAAGTCAAAACAGATGTCACAATTCACAGTTCACACACCTACAGTCATTTCATGACTGGCAGGAAATCAAAAAAGATTTTGAAAATTCAAACAAACTCTACAGCCCAATTACAGCGTTTTCTCAGCCCGCTCTCTGAGGTCATGAAGCCAAGCAGCTGCTTAGTCTATCTTCCTGTCTTACAGCAGTTTCCGCCCCTGCAGAGCCTTCTCTCTACTCCGGCACAAATGAACTGCAGATGGACTGGCAGATTTCTCAGACACTCCTCCAGGAAACGTCTTTCTACTGTTCATTGTGTTGCAAACAACCGCACACAGTAGTAGACTCCCACTGTGAGATCTTGTTACCCCTGTGAAAAGAAGCTGCAAAACAAGATGCAGATGATTGGCTGCGCTTTGCAATGGACATAGGCTTGGGTTCAGACAGCAACTGTGTGAGGGGTTAAAAATAGTATGGGCAACAGTCAGAGATTTCTCTGCTTCATTTTCAGTTAGTCCTGCCTCTTCCTGTTCGCCTCAGCTAACCTGTGGCTGTAGAAGGGCGCAAAACCTGAGGCGCAGATACGTTCCCTGCTAATGGGGTGTGAAATAGGGGGTAATGTAACATCCAATGTTATTGGTCTGCTACTAGGAATAGGCCTGCTGGGAATTCCCTAGACCTACTTAAGGAACAAGTGGCTAAGGCAGTGACTAACTCATGAGGGGACAGTTGTATAGCAAGTGCAGTCTTATGACAAATTCCTATACAGTAATGACCTCTTTATACCCAACATCTGTAAAGTATTCAACACTGATAACAAAGAGTAAAACAATGCTTATAATCACCATGAGACAAGACAAGTCCAAGGTGTTCACCTAAGCTCAATTTCAGTATTTCTGCTGAATCATTGTTGTTTAATATTTAATGAATGCCCTGCATGTAACATGGGTATGATCTCCCACACATTCTCTTTGGTGCGGATATAAACAACAAGTTATATGCAAAGGCTGAGAAGAGCTCTGTGAGAGAAACCGCTGATGCAGCACAAGTCCATGTATGGCCTCGTAACTCTTCAGATCAGTCTCAGGGCTCCTGTGCATCACATTCTGTACCACAGCAGGAGAGAAATATCCAGATTAAAAAGTTAAGAATTAGTTACTGAAACAATATCAATTGAACACCACACAAAACAAAGTTACTTTTTAATCAAGTATTGCAATTTTTTTTATTTCATTCGCTCAAACAAAACAATGTTAGCATGTAAGAAAATTCTAATTAACATGAGAACGGTATGGTACAATGTGAATGATAAAATAATAAAAAGGAAACTGATAAATGAATTTCAGAGACATTCAGTTGAATTTCTGCTGCATATTCTTAATATGTCCACCAGCTTCGGTTCCCTCAGTAGATGGAAAAATCTGATTTTGGGGACAAAAATGTCACTGTAGAGCACAGGAGGTTGGTGGCACCTTAATTGGGGAGGATGGGCTCATGGTAATGACTGGAGCGGAATTGGTGGAATGTATCAGTACATCAAACACATGGTTTGGTGCCATTCCAGTCGATCCGTTTCAGACATTATTGTGAGCCGTCCTCCCCTCAGCAGCCTCCACTGCTGTAGAGGATATATACATTTTCAGATTTCCCAAGCGCCAAGAACCTAGACCATGTAACATAAACTGCTCTGTAACATACAAATGGCATGAGGAAAATACACAATTTCTGGGTTCAATTGTACTTTGTAACAGATAACTTCATTCTCCCTTTAAAAATAACTATACCAGGATGCAAAAAAACAAAACAATGATCATGTGTGAGATTATGACACTTCCTAGAATTATTACTAGTCTTTTAAAATCTTTGACATATTAAATGTAACTTCAGAACAAGGCACAAACCATGAAGATCACAAACAGAATTATCCATGTAGATCTGAATGATCCTTGATTAGAATGTTTCACTCCCCAAACCAAGGACTCGATATATCGATATCTCCCTTTCTCTTGACAATGATAAAACAAAAGGCGTCTCAGCAGAGTGTGACGTGTGTAGGAGGAGATTGTAGCTGAAACCTTTGGTGAGATAGCCACACTATTGGCGATGGCTGCATCTTGTAAGCAGGTTCATCATAGTATCATGAATTTCTATGGGTTTATAAAGTGCAATCGATGCTGTAAACACTCTTCTGTACAAACCTTCCAATGCTTTGATTCAGAGAGAATGAGAATGAAATAATTTGTGTTTGAGCAAAACACTCACAAGGGGAGTGTTGTGAAGATTGCTCAGTCACCACCACCCCTCAGCTGTTGCCATGACAGAACCCTGATCAAAGTCGATCCCCTTACCAGCAAGTCAAGAGAATAGAAGCAATAGAGTTTTACATTGAAGACAGTTCTTTCTATTACACTAGTCTCAGGTTGACCTGGTTTCTCTCAGTTGATTGTACATCGAGATTTTTAGGAAATCAAAAAGAAAATAGCTTTGAAAAGAAAACATTTTCAATAGAAAGTAGCCATTCCCATATGAACAAATAAGTCAATCAAAGGGCGAAAGCAGTATGCCATTATCAGAACTTCATACTATAGGGGAGGAAATAAAGGCAAACCGAAATGCTACAAATAATTATTAAGCACAAGTAAAACACTGAATGGCACAAGCATGTATGCAGATACGTCATGCCGACAAACTCATTTCTGGGGTGTCCCTCGTATTTTTTCATTACTAGTTTTGTATTTATTTTCTATGCAACAAAAAAAAAAGAGAATAACTACCATTTAGCTGCAATATTGATAAAAAGATACAGCATCCTTGAATCATAAAACAAAATACCATGAGTACCATGATTTTAAAAATGAATGGCATACCTCAGTAAATTAAGTACATTATGGCTATAAACAGGGAGGGTCTGTCCATCTCATCTATTCTCTACCCATTTGTTTCAGAACAGTTAGAATCTATGAGGTGGATGTACAGTAGTGAACAGAAGGAGGTACAGAATCACTATCACATCCTCAACAGGGCGCTGGAGTGGAGTTAAAAGAACAGGAACATTTAAAGGAAAACATGTGGGGGAAATTCAACCCAGATGCTACATTTATTGCTTATAAACTGACAGACAATAATGCAACTTCGTGGCAGTAACGCCGTACAAAGCCTTACATGCACCAAAAATTTGACAGAAAATGAGAGGGAGAGGGAAAAAAGGTTCAGTTCATAATAACAGTACAGATATTTCAAATAGTTCCAGATCTGGTCATGGTGATTTTAGCATTATTAACCATCACTAATTGACAGAGGTTGTTTGGTAAAGAGCTACAAAGATTGACTGTAGAAAGGCATGTACCCTTTGTGACCGTCTCATCAGCCTGCAACACATAGAAACAGTGATAAGAAATGCAGTACAGGTGCTTGTAATAGCGATCATTTCTATAGAAAAAAGAAGATAATGATATTCGGATATTAAGCCAAACAGACCAAAAGACAGACCATCTTGAAAATATTTGATTAAGCTACTTGATATGGCCATGGTTTACATTAAAACAGACGATTGATAGACTTGGAGATATATATTTTTCTTATTTTGTACATATTCAGTTTAAAATAGTATTTGAGGAAGACAAGCTTTACAGAGTCCTGCAGCAGTAGACTATACCAAGTCCACCAGTCAGTCCCTCATTCACATCAAGAGGCTCCCTCCTATGGCCCTATGGGAAACTGAGTCCTACTTCCCTTTCCCTCCCCTCCTGCCTCCAAACTTAACACTCACCCACTAAACGTGCCTTTTTGCTTTGAAATCACAAGTGCGCACCAACCGTTCCAATTCTTAGTGTGACCGCTGTCTGTTTGATTTCTCACACTTCAATGGTTAATACAGTATACAGTTCAATATAGTTAGTTTTTTATTTGTTGCTTTTCCTTGTTTTCTTGTGTTATCGACAAAGAGAGAAATCTTTGCATAATGACAGTCACTTCTCTTTTAAGACTGTGTCCTGTCCTCCAGGTGAGGCTGCGGGAAAATGGTGGCAATGGCCAGGCTTCACAAGATGGACGCCAGCAGTGCTTTCATACTACACGCCTCCCACACTCCCTCGTCCCCAGCTGTGCGTCTGACGCTGCTCCGCCCACAAACTCTGTCTTCTGTATTAATATGGTTATTGTTATCATCATCACCACCTTTTAAAACTTTTTTCCTTGTTCGTTCCTTTATAATATTGTCCCATCTGAAGTTACCCGGTCTCAGTTGTCCAGTAATGGGTGTAATTTACAGGGAGGTGAGATCCTTCTACACGGTGTTCGACTTGCCCAGCTCCTCTCTGATGGCTGTGGACAGACAAACAACATAATAATATAATAATATGCCATTTAACAGACGCTTTTATCCAAAGCGACTTACAGTCATGTGTGCATACATTTTTACGTATGGGTGGTCCCGGGGATCGAACCCACTACACTGGCGTTACAAGCGCCATGCTCTACCAATTGAGCTACAGAGGACCATATGACAGTTATATTGTGTTTTGTGCTGTCTTTGCTGTGATATGATCTTAACAGTGGCTTGAATGGTGTGATGCTAATTCTCTGATGACAAAGGTATAGCAGGCCTCAACTGAGCATAAGCGGTTCCTCTCAGCCCTGTGCTTTGAGGAACTTGTTCCACGCCCTGTCACATACTACAGAGCAGTATGTGCATCAGGTTCATCAAGCAATCAGTTACCATCAATGAGTTCCTCTTTCAGCTTCGATAACTCCTTCCTCATCTCGTCTAGAATGTCCTGAAAATACAAGGTTGGAAAGACAAGGTAAGAGACAAAATACAGTGGAAAAACGAATAACTTGTTTCAAACTTCAGGCACTTTGGACATGTGAAATGGGGGAAAACAGTGACTATAAACAGCAATGAGAGATACTGTCCCAGAGAGCTGAAGGATTGTTAGTAAGCCCATAGTGTCACTCCTCTGTTACTGCTCTGTCTCTGACTGAGGCTGCTGCTGTGTGCACAGATAGGGAGGTTATATGGAGAATTTACACTTATCTAACAGGCTCATTCATAGGGGAGGAGGGAGGGATTGCCCCAGCACGGGACACCGTCATTGGACACACCCTCTCAGGGCTCTGTAGTATGCTGTGTAAAATACTACAGCTCCAATGTACTGCCAGCAAACAGCAAGTCAGTCATTTTTCACTTGTCTCCTCTGAATACCTGTTTCAATCTGTCATAGTCGAGACCTTCTGTTGGCACCCCGTTGGCACTTAGGGATCCAGTCGCTGTGGACTTTGGTCTGTAGACGAGATAAACAGAAAAAGTTAAAGTAGTATACCTAAACTGGGGCTATTGTCGAGTGGGACTCCAGAAGTCACTCTTGGAGGAAAACAAGACAGCAAAGTGCCTACTTTGGTTAGATCACTCACCTCTGCATTCAGTCCTCAGACACTTCAATCACTCTTAAAAAATAGTTAGATTAGCATTTTTTGCAACTATAACATAAACAAGTTGAAAGAAAGTGCACTGAAACCCCAAAGGAGGACATCTTTGAGATTTAAAATGGATTCAAATTGACGGTTTGATATCAAAACACAGCAGGAAACATAGGAAGTTACAGAATTAAAACAAAAAAAATTTGCCATCATACACCAACATCTATTCTTTTAAATTCAGAATTTGGAAACTGATATATAAATCTGGCAATGTAGAGAATAATGTACCACAATAATCATTTACATGCCATTTCATATCTATTTGTCAGCATTGATAACTACACTAGTGGTACACAGCTGAGCCTATTTGACAGGGTACCTAACCCTTTGGCTGCCCACATACAGTATGAGGCACCTTCATGAACTTAGTTAGTTCAAGCATCATTATGTTCTGAGCAAACTGAATCTAGATTTAGGCAAAGTGAACCAGTAAATTAACTGGAAACTATGTCCTATGACTGGAATCACAAATAGAATAGCTTAATGCTTTAGGTCAGGGATTGGCAACTTTGATGGGGTGTGGGCACACAAAAAATCTGAATTCATCACGAGGGGCCGTAATAAAATTGAAAATAAATAATGTTAGCTGACATGGGCTAATTGACTGACTATCAGTGACTGACATAACAAGGGAATTGATCCGAGGGCCTTCAAAAGGGGGGCCGCCCTGCCTTCGGTAAAGCCAGCCCAATACACATGCTACACACCAACCGTTTGAGTTCACACACCAAGTAATAGGAAGGAAACACACAGCTAACATTGGGTAGTTCAGCCCGATTGAAACACAATCAAGTTGGTCAAGTTGAATCAGAGTTCAGAAACAGGCCACTGTAGTTACAGCATGCAATGCAGCAATCACACACAGCCATGCTTCTCTGCCATTGGATCAGCTGGGACTGGACACCGTTGCCAACAAGGTAATCACCATGGGCTACAACTACAGGAATGATTCAAGGAAACTGAGTGTGAAATTAGTGAGGAAATTAACTCATTGAACAGCCAACAGCTTATCAGGGAGGAAGTGGAAGCCAAGAGAATAGGGGAAGTGTAACCTATTCTCACAGTTGTCTTTCTGCAGTGTCTCTGTGTGTTTGTGTATTTCTCTAGTGGTCTCTCTGACCTGCTCTATAGGTCACATACAAAGGCCAGTTTATGTGGGAGAAATTAATAACACCCATCTGTCAATGCAGGGCTGTGTGGCCTTATCTATGGGGTCCTTCTGGGACAGAATTGAAACGGATATGAATATTCACAGCACTGGACGGGGCGAGGTCTCCTCTGGCTTCCTCACTATACAGTAGCACACAGCCACAGAGTGTGTTGAGTATGTGTGTACATGTGTGGGTGGGGGGCACTTTGTGATGTGTTTGAGGGATTCCCTTTGACAGGAATTTAGCAAAGTAGACACTTTGGAGAGATGAAGGACAGTAAAACAATGATTGTAAAGCTACTGGAAACGTAACATGACATAGATTGTTTATTATTTAAATAAAAATAAAGCAATGTATATACGTAGCGTTCATTAGCAGTCTGGTGATTACTTTGCTGGCAAAACAGAGATACAGTATATGGGAATTACAAGGCACTAACCCAACCCCCAACAATATCACTTCCACTTCGATCACAGCAAATTATACAAAAGGAGTAAAAAGGGAGATGTATCACTCTACAGGCCTGTTTACCTGTTTACAATATCAGAACCCATCGGATTTCTCCACGGTGAGCCACGTCAGTGAGAGAGAGACTCCAGCTTTTAAAAGGCCTGTCCTGTTGCCCCAGGTCCCTTCCCTACACCAGCCCTAACTAAACCTACAGGCTACAGAGAGCAAGGCTACAGAGAGCAGACGGAGTATAGCTACCAGGGCATATGGAAAAACAACAATCGCTATTGATGATATATTGACTTTGTTTTAAGTTTACTTTACTTTGATAAAGCATTGTAATAGGAATTTTCTAGGGATCTGTTAATTATTTGAAACTTTTTGCGTTAATAGGCTAAAATGTAACGCCAACCGCCTTTAAAGGAAGTTCTAAAAAACATCTTACATTCTCAGAGAATTAAAACAAAAAAGGACTTGTGGTGGAGGCAGCCAGCATTCTGTTTTGCACATGGAAGCAGGAGATGCATTTCCAGAGCACATTCTCACCGACAAACCGCCATTTAGAGCCCTGTAATTAAAACCTGGAATTTGGGGTTTTGATTGACACATCTCAGGAACACTCACTGCTACAGACAACCTTGCCTAGCGGTAAGCAGAAGCCCTGTGCTTTAGTCATGTTATTAACCAGTCATGAATCAACAAGCCCAGGGGTCGGACCCCAGCAGTGTGCCATGCTCTGCTATCCTCTGTGCTCCTTCTCTCCGGTTACGTGACAATGAGCGGCAATGCTGAGGCAGTCAATGATTCAGACAGGCAGTGGATATTTTGACTTAGTTGTGCTTGACCCAATAATGTGTTTAGACTCAGACTAAAAATGTATTACCGTGTGTACATGAAAGCACACAATTGAAATCTAAGCCCATTTGTGGATTATGGAATGCTGGTATTTACCTTCCAATGACCGGGGATTTGCTACCATTCATAGTGTTAGTCCTCTCCCATGGTTTCCTGGGCATGTCTGAGGAGGAGACAAAACACACAAGCATTAGATATATTACACTGATAGAACTCAACCACTTCATCAGGAGACAAAACAATACAGACAAACTCTATAGACTGAACAAATCTGCCAAACTACATTAACTGCTGGCCAACACTGACTAGGGTCCTGGTGGTCTAAATGTGGAAGGTGCATGTTGCTGTTCCTGTGTATCTCTGACCACTACAATCCTGTACTGTATCCTGTACTGAACCCCACTCACCTGGTGTGCTACAGGCAGACACTTTGGGCGTAGTGGTGCCCTCGCCGACCTCGTCCTATTGGAGAGAAGCACAGTGAGTTCAAAGGTTAGAAGTTATAGGTCAGCTTCAGATACCCAGATATCAGAAATGTGACCAGGCATTGAGTTAATAATCCACTGAGAGAGATCCATTGATCCTCTTTAATGACCCTAATGACCCTCAAAGAGAAACATATGAAGCTCCAAAGATATTCAGAAGAGATGGATACAGAATACAAACACCAGGCTACAGAATACAAACATCAGGTTACTGAATTATAGATGGGTAAACTAGATAGATACTGTCAGGCAGGAAATACAGAGATGACCTTTCCCTGGCCTCTGTCTGTCTGTCATACTCACAGCTCTCTGCTCCGGCTCAGGCGATGATCCCTTCTCTGCAATTCTTCTCCTGAAAAACAACAAAATATTAAGATAGATTGCCAACCTCATAACATGTTATAATATTGTAAACCTAAATAAAGATGTTCTAACTTCCCACTCCCAGCTACATAGTCTGCAATGATAGAACACTCAAATAATTAAAATATCTATATTGACAAGAAATATTTGGGCATCAAGCCTTCCTCAATATTGTCCCCACTCCCTGAAGCCACCCAAACATGCTGTCTCCCTCCATGTTTCAAACGGGGGTGTAATGTAATGTCACCTCCTGGCCAGCAGGGCGCTCATTTCCTCCATCAACCCCCCTCCTCCAGGTGCTCCTCCCAGAGGGCCGTTCCCTCCAGGTTTGGCCCCTGCAGCGCCAGCCAAGCTCCCAGCCATGGCTGCAGCCAGAGCAGCTGCCGCGTCACCACCACTATCACTCTGTGAAGTAGTGGTCAGTCAGTTAAGTAGTGGCAGACCATGTTACAGAGGCACATAACTGGGGGTCAGGTATGGTGGAGTGCAGTATATGGAGGAGTGAAGTACAGTAAGGGCTACATGATTTAAATGTATCTGAAGTGAGTGGCAGCTCCCAATTAGTGCTGAGTGATTAGTGTTTTGAGGTCGGTTCGGTTTTTGTTAGATTATTAAAAAAGAATCACTGTGTTCTATTTCGGTTTCGATATTTTTTAAATGATGAAATTATGACGTTACAATGATTTTAGAGCTTTTTAATGGAAATTCCAAAGCCCAAAATAGTGAACATTCAATTGGCCAAAACATTGAAAATATTCAATTTTCTCTGTCAGGTCCACATTGGGTAGACATCAATAGAAAAATAGGAGATTACTATGAAATAATACAATATTTCAGTTGTGTATATTACTTAGTTTTTATTTGATGACTATTATTTTTCATTCCTTAAAGGCATCATCTCATCTCTACTCAGGCAGTAGCAGTCAGCCAGCCAGGCCATCTAACGTTATGTGCTCCCCATACTGTACTGTCTTTAGTCATCCTATTTAGCTAGCCTGCCTATGTATGCTGCAGAGCTGTCTGACAAATGTTTTACTAGTTCTTCAAAGTAGATAAGGTATACTTTCACGAACTGTCACTCATCGTTGTGTTGTGTACATTCTGCTCTCATGTGGTCAATGCGGTCTGTGTGTATCTAATCTAACGTAGCAGGCGTAAAAGTGTATCCGTCCAGAGATCTGTATAAAATGACGAGATGCTCATGTCTATGCCCTAACAATGGGAGTAGTTGTCCCAAAGGCGGGAAGGCAGGCGACAAGCTTCGGTCCAAAATAAGCCCATAGAAACGCATTGGGCTTATTTTGGACAGATTTGGGCGAGAGTGAAACCTCTTGGTTGCCTCTTCTTCGTCTCTTGGCGCAATGGATTATGTAGTTAATTACCACGAAAACTACAACTCCCTTCAGCCCAGCGTCCCACATAGTTCTTGGCTTGATTTCTCAGATTTCTCTCGTGAATTTTTTGATTTCTCTCGAGAAACGGCGAGTTGGGCTCACAAAAAAATAACTACATGGAATTCAGGTAATTGAACCGAAGTCGATTTAATAACAGAAAAAAACAACGAAATGTTGGTTAATAGCTCAGCACTACTCCGAATAGAGGGGATATAAAGTGTGACTGGTGCTGGACAAGATCACAAGCCTGTGAGGATATGGTATGGGACAAACAGTGGGTGTCTGTGTAGGGGTAAGGATGCGTGGGTGTGTTTCTGTTCTGTGCGTGTCGGCCTCTCACCCTTGGCACTTTACGCAGCTTGGCTCCAGCGAGGGCAGCGGCTAGCCCGGACAGGGGGCGGTCCTCCGAGGGGGAGAAGAGGCCTGGTGGCAGGGGAGGGGCTGGTGGAGGTGGAGGGTGGGCCTGGCCACCAAGGGAAGGTGGGGGTCCGGGTGGGGGAGGGGGCCCGCCACTGGTAGGGGTGAGTGTAGGGGGTAAGGGGGGAGGGGGTGGAGGGCCTGATTGGGCCGGGGGGGCAGCGGCCGTGGGGGTCACATTGGAGCCGGGAGGGAGGGGGGGAGGGGGAGGAGGGGTGGGCAGGACCGGTGTCAACACTGTGTCTGTATGGGGGGAGGAGGGAGAAGAGTAAACGGTCAGTATCAAACTTTGGGACTCACAGAAAGAGTCAGGAGTTCTCTCCTATTTAGTTTATCCTCACACACAAAACTCAGGCTTCCTAAAGTACCCATAGTATATTCAGCATCAATACTAACATTATCAGGCTTGACCATTTATTGGGAAATGTTATACTTTAAAACTTGTGTGTGAAGAACAAAACTGTTTTTTGAAGACATGGTATGAACACACTACATCCCCTTGTTGTTTGTCATACAACATGCATGAACATCAGTGAGTTGTGGCAACGGCCTAAATGTATCCATTTGAATGAAGCAAATGTAGACATCCAACACATAAACAAGACAGAAAATGCATCGGACACAGGAACTCTAGCAGCCCTAGTTAGGTCAATATCAGCATATGCCTGCAAGAGCAGCCCTAAACCATGGAACCACAGAGATGTATTAACTGTAATAATTAGCTTGTAGAAAATCATTGTGATTCCTCAACCCAGACAGATGATTGGATCAATAAGCCATGATGGAATGTTCCCATATTGAGCTCCTGTCAGTGAGGGTGTGACCCATAGAATTAGGAATTAGAATACTAATTATTAGAATAGTAATTTAATAGGATCTCTATAGCGTGACCAGTTTCCTTTCAGCCAATGAGAGAGGAGACTGGAGGGCAGAGTTCACTGGAACACGGGTGGGTCAGTCCGAGTGGGAGAAATAGTCTGACTGAATCATCTACATATAAATGCTACTCACGAGTTACTCAAAGGGCAGTTGTAATACACCAAAATCTAAAACTTTAATAAGTTAAAAAATATTGTCTCATTAATGCTACTGGAGTGTTTGAATTATGTCAAATCTGAACTTTTGAAACTGCAATGGTTTTCAGAAAGATTTCAAATGTGGATAACTACTATTGAATTAAATGTTATATCCCATCAAGTTGATAAGGTAATCAGATGAATGTGAGGGCAGGTTTAGGGTGAATAATAAAAGGCTTGTCCTCATTTGACATGCAAATGGATATTTATTTATTTGGATCCCCAAATGCAGAGGGCACAGACATGTATCTGCTAACAATTCCATTCAGGAGAGGGAAAAATCATAATCTTAATATTATTGATTCCAGCTGCTAATCTTACCATGGATTGCTTCTGACAGTGAAAGTGACCGAGTTCAGTCAGTCATTTCATAATCAAAATACAACTAAAATGTCTGTTAATTGCTCAGCACTAGCATCCCTCCTGTTCCCTTGAAACGTACTGTAGTGTCATGACAATAACCCTAAGTGAACAAGGATAGCGCAGAAACGAGTCTCCATCTATCAGTCCCTTTTGTGTCACGTATACAAGCCAACTGTCACCAGGTCCAGTAGGCTTGATGAACACAACACTGACATGACAAGTGAGGGTGAAAAGTCATGGTAAAATACTAAGGTCATCACAATGGTGAATTGCAGAAAAATAATAGTTTGAGGTGATAAAAAAAAACAAGCATGGGAGAAACAGAGACATTGATCCCTTCAGACTTTGCTGCAGTGATCTATAGCTAGATGCAACAGAGCCCCCTGTCTGAGTGCACACACACACACACACACACACACACACACACACATACACGCATGCATGCCATGCCTAATGACCAGACACCATTCAAACCAGTTCACAACGCAACTCATGACCATGAGCAATAGCATGAACATACATGGTGAGAGTATGCTGACAAAGGCCAGACAGACACCTGACCAACACAGATTAACAAGCACCTAGCAGACCTAGAGCCACAGCCACACTAGCCACCGCTGCAGCCAGCATTGGCACCCAGAGCTGGGCCAAGTTGGTTAGGGCAGGCCCGCTGCTCCCTGGCCCCACCATTAGTGGGTGAGTGGAGGTAGAGAGCGAGGCTGAGAGAGGTGAGGCCTTACCCTGCTGGGCCAGAGGGTCTGCAGGCTGAAAGGCCCTCAGGAGCCGAGGAGCAGGAGTCTCCCAGCACAGAGAGGTTTACAGAGAGGTCAGCAGAGGCAGAGGGAGCTGTGGAAGGAGAAGGGACAACAGCAGGCTGGGATGAGGGAGAGGACACAAGGGGAGCGATGGGGGAGACAACGGGCGACTGCTGGCAGGGCAACGACAGGGACAGGGAGAGAGGGGGCAGCGGTGGAGGGGGAGGCGGGGTGGGAGGCGGGGCGGGGTTGCTGCTGTTGCCGATGGTGACAGGTGAAGGGGCAGAGAACATGGGAGGCCCATTGGGGGAGGGTGAGGCGGGTTTCTGTGACAAGGAGCTGGAGACTGGGATGGCAATGACAGGGCGAGGGCCGGTTGCCTTGCCCGGCGGGCTACTGATCATGACGGGGGGCGAGGGGGGCAGTGGGCTGAAGTTGGTTGCTGACCACACCACAGACTTGGAGGGGGGTGCTGGGGCCGGGGCGGGGGACGTGGGAGGGATTGGCTGTCGCCTGGGGACTGTGGCGTAGTGGGGCAAGACCGGGTGAAAGGCGGAGCCTAGCGAGGTGGCGAATCGGGAGGCAGAGTGTCGTAGAGGCGGGGTGGGGGGTGTTGCAGAGGAGGGTGACGGGGTGGGCGGAGGGTAGTTGGGGGTGGTGGGAGACACAGACGTAGAGGAGGTCTTGGAGGAGTACTCTGGAGGCGGAGGGGTGTAGAGGGTACTTTCAAATGCTGAACAGGACAGAACAGGACAGGAGAGAAGCAGCCACCGTGCAGCCACACAAGGGGGGAAAGAACACAGGAGAGGAGAGAGAGAAAGGGGGGGAAACAGAAAGAAGAGAGAGAAGGGGGCAAATGAAGCAGGAAAAACCAGCACAGACCTAAATCTCCTTTTACTTTTTTTGGTTCTTTCTCTAACAGAAAGGATGCTACTATTAGTACACAAGGTTAGCAGCTGAGACAGAACCTGAGGCAGACTCTGTAAACAATGTGTACACATGGATAGAGGAAGCAGAAAACCATAGACCATCGTACTTTCAGGAGGGAGCGCTTGGCTTGGTCCCTCATTGAACGAAGCCTGATCAAGTGATGCACACTTCAAACGATTTATTAGCCTCTGGTGGAACTCACAGGATCAACACCCACCAGACACAGCACTGGTCAGTCACTCACTCTTTCCATGCTGCATCCATCCTGTCTATACCAGGACTGAGCAAGCAGAACAGTTGTATTCTATAAATGTAGAAGTCAAAGCACCACAATTGAGACATGTAACCAATTTGGACATGTTTTGTTCATTGTTCGGACAATAAGCAAAATGGTACACAGACTCGGGTAGAAACTAAAATAAATTATTAAACAAAATGCTTAAATATTTGGGTGACTTCACAGTTTCAATCAATCACCCCTTACTTGCATTCACCATTACCTAGCTTTCTATCAGAACGATTTCAAGTCAGAATCTCTTCTTTGAAAAAACAAAGAAAAAATACCATTGCAAAGTCTGTGTTTCTCATGGTGTTTTTTAATCAATACCCACATCAGTAGTATCTTCTCATCTCTCATGTAAAGTACAGAACTAGTGAGCCGAGGCGAGCCATGGCGGGGGTATTATCGCTGGGTGGTCACACAGCCAGAGCCTGACTGTATGCTCTGAATTATCCATGCTCTGTTTTGTTGTGGCCTCAGCCAGCGTAGCCCTAGAGTTAGCCCAGAGCTGAGGCCACTCCTGCCATATGTTGACTGAGGGGTAATGTTGCTAATCCATTGTGCCAGCCTCATTCTGCTCCACTAACCCTCAGTGGCAGCCACACACACACACACTCCTTCTGTTCCTCCAGCCAGAAGACTCACTCTTGCCCAAATTTTCCTCTCTTTTTCCCGACCCACCAACTGCCTCCTCCTTTCTCCCCCCCCCCTCCCCTCCCCTCCCCCTCCCTGGGTGACCAGAGGCAAGCCCCAGCTTTGCTCTGTGATCCCAGAGTAATAACACCCACTCACCTCACTAACCCCAAAATGGACATACACTACATCTCCTCCATACACACTAACTAAATGTAGCCTAGTGTGTTCCCTAGGAGAGTGGCTAACAGAAGAGGGGGACCAGTAGAGGGTGAGGCAGGCCTAGAACCACCACAGTGTTATGAGGGGTTTCCATCAGAGGACCGTTAGGAATGGCTAGATTAAAGAGGTTGAGATTCTCTATTCACACAAGGAAGCTCTTGTTCTTTCTAACGTGATGAGGGGCATAGCTAATATGACACAGACTCCACAGTGACGGATACATCAAGAAGCTAATTTAAGACTGTCAATGGATCTGTGGATGCCCTATTAGCAGACCTCTCCTCAACAAGTGTTCAGTTAGAAGTTCAGCATGGTTACACACAGCATCAGCATGACATCCATAGACACTGACTACATCCAATGGAATACTGAACATACTATGAATTCAATTGGAAATCCAACCAAAAGCTATTGCAAGGCTATGTACAGTAGGCCAACAGCGCAAATGTTTGTTTTTCCTATAGGAAAGACAACTAGAAGCATATTAAAAGTGCATTCTCACACCTCAAACCCAAAAGCACCTCAAATGTTACAGTAACATGCAGTGTAACATTGTTTCTTGTGTTTGTCATGTACGGTGTGAATTGGGTCATTATGCATTTATTGTACAAATGTCCTGAGAAAAATAAAGTCTACTCTATACCATAATATCTTAGATATGTTCATATTTATGTTGACTTGAAGGCCCCTCCCCCTCTCCTGGGGGGCAGGCAGCATGTTAGCCTTGATGGTTTATTTTTCGCCTATTAACACAGAGAATCTGGCCCAGCTAATGTGATGAGTGTGGCACTGAACCATGCCAACCGTGCCAACACTGGCTCCCCCACTGACCCAATATGTAGCAGCAATGCCCATCTCCCATCCTTGATTCTCCTCTAACCAACCCCAGAACCTGAGTCCTGCACCTGCCTATGCTTTGCTGGGCAGGCTGGCTGGGGTACCCTACCATCCACCAACACATAGTCAAAGCCATCACTGGTCAAAACTGGACCCATTTAACAGAGGTAGGCAGAGAGGGCTGAGTGTGTGTGTGCTTGCTTGCTTCCTCGCTGAGAGAAGCACCTAAACACACAAACACTCCCCCTATGCCCTAGCGCCACTCAAGCTGTTCCACGAGCCCATCCAACACACAAGCAGATGGGCAGAGAGAGATGGGAGCGGAGCCTCGCTATAAATCACACTAACTAATGAGCGGCCAGGGATGGCTGAGTAGTCCGCGTCTAGGCTTCGCTTCAGACTCCAGCTAAATGCCACGCTGGGATTTTACACCCAAGACGGCTCTTTGGAAGAACTACTGCTAAATGAAGTGAGAGCTAAACCCACTCACAGTTGGTGACTATTCTGTCATTTAGTTCTGTCCTGTGTCTTCAGTGTGTAATGTACTACCTTATCCTGTGCTAGACATCAGATGTGTGCATATGCGTGTATGTGTGTGTAAGTATGTATATGCATGTGTGCGAGTATGTCTGAGTGTGTAAGAGGTAAGGAAAAAGTATTGACTGCTCACCGGCGTTGGAGATGCGTCTCCCTCTCTCCCAGTCCATCTGCTCTCTGTCCAACTGCTGCGCCTCGTGAGTCTCTCGCTCCATCCTCTCCCTCTCCTGCTTCTCTCTTGCCATCAGCTCCCTCTCTCTCTCCGCCCTCTCTCTCTCCAACTGCTCTCTCTCCAACTGCTCTCTCTCCAACTGCTCTCTCTCCAACTGCTCTCTCTCCAACTGCTCTCTCTCCAACTGCTCTCTCTCTAACTGCTCTCTCTCCTGTTCCTGACGCTCACGCTCCAGCCGATCCCGTTCGGCGCGCTCCACATGCCCCCTCTCGGAGCGCTCCCGCTCCCTCTCGGCACGCTCCCGCTCTCGCTCCAGGCGCTCACGGTCTTGACGTTCCCGTTCGCGCTCCCTCTCCAGCATCTCACGCTCCAGCCGTTCCCTCTCCTGGCGCTCCCGCTCCAGCCGCTCGCGCTCCACCTCCTTCTGCCTCTGAAGCTCCTGCAGCTGCCTGCCATGGGGAGAGAGGAGAGAAGAGGTGAGGAGAGAAGAGACCAGAGCGGTGGAGAGAGAGATGAGAGAGGGGAAGAGAAAGGGGGTTAATGAGGAGAAGCGAGAGAGGCCTGCATATAGAGTAGGAAAGAGGGAGAGATGAGCAAAGGGAGAACTAAGAAAGGAGAGACCATAGGAGGAGACACCAGATGAGGAAAGCTAAGAAAAGAGAGACCATAGAGGAGGAGACACCAGATGAGGAGAGCTAAGAAAGGAGAGACCATAGGAGGAGACACCAGATGAGGAAAGCTAAGAAAAGAGAGACCATAGAGGAGGAGACACCAGATGAGGAGAGCTAAGAAAGGAGAGACCATAGAGGAGGAGACACCAGATGAGGAGAACTAAGAAAGGAGAGACCATAGAGGAGGAGACACCAGATGAGGAGAACTAAGAAAGGAGAGACCATAGAGGAGGAGACACCAGATGAGGAGAGCTAAGAAAGGAGAGACCATAGAGGAGGAGACACCAGATGAGGAGAGCTAAGAAAGGAGAGACCATAGAGGAGGAGGCACCAGATGAGGAGAGCTAAGAAAGGAGAGACCATAGAGGTGGAGACACCAAATGAGGAGAACTAAGAAAGGAGAGACCATAGAGGAGGAGACACCAGATGAGGAGAGCTAAGAAAGGAGAGACCATAGAGGTAGAGACACCAGATGAGGAGAACTAAGAAAGGAGAGACCATAGAGGAGGAGACACCAGATGAGGAGAACTAAGAAAGGAGAGACCATAGAGGAGACACCAGATGAGAGCTAAGAAAGGAGAGACCATAGAGGAGACACCAGATGAGGAGAGCTAAGAAAGGAGAGACCATAGAGGAGACACCAGATGAGGAGAGCTAAGAAAGGAGACCATAGAGGAGACACTAGATGAGGAGAGCTAAGAAAGGAGACCATAGAGGTGGAGACACCAGATGAGGAGAGCTAAGAAAGAAGAGACCATAGAGTCAAGAGAGGAAACCATAGAAGAAAAAAGAGAGACCATAGATGATAGTGGAGAAACCAGAGAGGAGAAAGAATAGAGGAGGGGAGAAGATGATGGGCAGTAGGTAGCCTAGCGGTTAAGGGCCAGGTAACTGAAAGGTCGCTGGTTCAAATCCCAGAGCCGACTAGGTGAAAAATGTGTTGATGTGCCTTTGAGCAAGGCACTTAACCCTAATCGCTCCGGTAAAATGTAAATGAAGACGAGGCCATAACCTCGTTTCACAAGCTGGCCTAATGCACCATGCAGACCCACAGGCAGTGCTGTCGCTTGGAAAAGGCCTTCTTGTTATCATTATATAAGCTTGTTGTCATTATGTAATTACTGTTCTGTGCAAGACAAACCGTTGCGTAACCACAGCTAGCTCTGCACATTTCTGTTGTTAAACACAACAATGTCTTCTTCTGGCTACAGCTTCCCATTCTGTAGTGATAAGGACAGAACCTGTATGTTATTCAGTTTCTACTGGTATTGACTGCATAACATTCACCAAGTACCTAAACGCATTCAATATCAGCTTGTTCATTCCAACTAGGTCTGCTGAGGTCGGATAGGAGCTTCCCAGTTTGGGAATGACTTATTTCTGCAGCTAGAAATCTCACCACCAGAGGGCAGCATGCTCTAATAAGAGGTTAGGCAGGATGGCTCCTGGAGTAGCCTGCTGTAGCTCACTGCGACTCTGGCTGGCTGGCTGGCTGCAGTAGTCTGGCTCCAAGCCGTTTCACAGACTCTTCTCTCTCCCCATCTCACTACCATGGAGGCTGTGACTGATGTACTTGCCCATTCTGTGGGGCTTCATCAGCCTCAACCAGGCCTGCTGTCAAACATTACCCAGACTGTCATAATGACACTGCAGAGCCCCTATCCATGACTGTCAGTTTGAGACATCTTGGATTGCGTCACATCAATTTGGACCAAATATGCCAGGCTGATACCCTTGAAGCCTTGACCAACTGTCAAGGGAGGAACTCCACTGGCATGACAAATTAATCTGTGGTGCTTTATTTGTATACGGACAAGCCGCAAGCCCCTTTCCCTCAGACACTCCTTCTCCCTCCTGTTCTTTATTCTTGCTGTAAACCAAACCCAGTTCTGGTTGAATCGTCAGCTCAACATCAGCCATCAGTTTCAAACACTATCTGGTGTCACACCTCCCCCTCGCTCCATCTGGTCAGGACCTACCTACACACACACACCTGTTCCTCAATGAAGATGTCACAGCCAGCCTCATCTCAATCTTCTCCACCCTCCCACACCTCCCCTCTCCCTCCTCTCAGAATTAATTAAAGAGCAGGAGTGTTGTACTGCTCATTAGGGGCTGGGCCACTAGAGGGCTGGCGGCGGGGTATCCGGCTGGAAGGACCATTCCAAGGGGTTTCGCTATAGGATAACATCCCCTTATCTCCACGCTGATATAGTTACAGTAGAGAGAACACCCCGGGGGCAGTCTGCGAGGGGCGGGGGCAGTAGCTCCTCCATCGAGAGTATCGTCAAACTGTGACAGGAGTGCTGACAGTGCTGCACAAGCAGGAGCCTCTTTAAAACATCCCCACTAAAATGTATAATATTATCAGTATGCCAGAGGTTAAATTTAGGCGGGATTGTGTTGAGAGCAGCAGGAAGGGTTTATTATGCCCACCACTAGAAAGACCGACAGGGTTAGAGAAGGTCAGTGGTGGATGATGCAATTGACGTGCAATGTCAATGACCCATCATATATGGGGAGTAGTTACACAGTACAAAACGGAGTGAAACTGTATACAGGATTGGGTAGTAACGAATTACATGTGACGGGGATGACGTAAACTAATCAGCCAGAATAATAAATAAAAAAATAATAATAATTGTGCTTGGTTCATAGAACCAGTAACCTCCGGTAGCTGTTAGATGTAATAAACAGCGGTTTCTGTTTTCTTCCTGCAAATGTGGCTCTACAAACTATTATGACCCGATCCCTGAAAGATAAGATTCCCTCTACAACGCCCACAATCATTATAACAGAGCGGACAAGACTAGGTGCTGACTGGGGAGAGAATAACATAAATCATGTTATATTCTACACAGAAGATCATACAAAATTATTGCCTGATGATCTTCTGAACTTCCCAATAGCTTTCTGATGCATTTCAGTCATTTTAAACCATACTTCCTTCAGCTTGAAATACTTTCAAAACTGTCATACTGATTTGTAATAGACTGTCATAGCCACAATAAAAAAAGTAAACGTTGGCCATTGATTACATAACATTTTTTACATGAAAAAAATTAATTGATATCAAAATGGGATCACGGGCCCAAAAAGTTTGGGAACCCTGCTCTATACGGAACAAGATATGCTTCACCAAAAAAGGGAATATGTTTTACAACGTAGACCTTTGGTTAACTTTGGTATGGGTGACATCTTTTTTTTTTTTTTACCTTTATTTAACCAGCTATGCCAGTTGAGAACAAGTTCTCATTCACAACTGCGACCTGGCCAAGATAAAGCAAAGCAATGCGATAAAAACAACAACACAGAGTTACATATGAGCACAGTGTGCGAATGTAGTACATTATGGAGGTAAGGCAATAAATAGGCCATTGTGCAAAATAGTTACAATTTCGTATTAACACTGGAATGATAGATGTGCAAAAGATGATGTGCAAATAGAGATAATGGGGTGCAAATTAGCAAAATAAATAACAATATGGGGATGAGGTAGTTGGGTGAGCTAATTTCAGAATGGCTGTGTACACGTGCAGTGATCGGTAAGCTGCTCTGACAACTGATGCTTAAAGTTAGTGAGGGAGATAAGAGTCTCCAGCTTCAGAGATTTTTGCAGTTCGTTCCAGTCATTGGCAGCAGAGAACTGGAAGGAATGGCGGCCAAAGGAGGTGTTGGCTTTGGGGATGACCAGTGAGATATACCTGCTGAAGCGTAGACTACGGGTGGGTGTTGCTATGGTGACCAGTGAGCTAAGATAAGGCGGGGATTTGCCTAGCAGTGATTTATAGATGACCTGGAGCCAGTGGGTTTGGCGACGAATATGTAGTGAGGGCCAGCCAACAAGAACGTACAGGTCACAATGTTGAGTAGTATATGGGGCTTTGGTGACAAAACGGATTGCACTGTGATAGACTACATCCAATTTGCTGAGTAGAGTGTTGGAGGCTATTTTGTAAATGACATCGCCGAAGTCAAGGATCGGTAGGATAGTCAGTTTTACGAGGGCATGTTTGGCAGCATGAGCGAAGGAGGCTTTGTTGCAAAATAGAAAGCCGATTCTAGATCTAACTTTTGATTGGAGATGCTTAATGCGAGTCTGGAAGGAGAGTTTACAGTCTAACCAGACACCTAGGTATTTGTAGTTGTCCACATACTCATGGGCATGGGCAAGTTGCAGCGGAGGGTGCAGAGCTGGTGGCCGGGGTAGTGGTAGCCAGGTGGAAAGCATGGCCAGCCATAGCAAAATGCTTGTTCAAATTCTCGATTATTATAGATGTATCGGTGGTGACAGTGTTTCCTAGCCTCAGTGCAGTGGGCAGTTGGGAGGAGGTGCTCTTATTCTCCATGAACTTTAGTTAGTTAGTGCTACAGGATGCACATTTCTGTTTGAAAAAGCTAGCCTTTGCTTTCCTAACTGATTGTGTATATTGGTTCCTGACTTCCCTGAAAAGTTGCATATCGCGGAGGCTGTTCGATGCTAATGTAGTACGCTACAGGATGTTTTTGTGCTGGTCAAGGGCAGTCAAGTCTGAGGAGAACCATGGGCTATATCTGTTCTTAGTTCTGAATTTTTTGAATGGGGCATGCTTATTTAAGATGGACAGGAAAACACTTTTAAAGAACAACCAGGCATCCTCTACTGACGGAATGAGGTCAAAATCCATCTAGGATAGCCGGGCCAGGTCAATTAGAAAAGGCCTGCACACTAAAGTGTTTTAGGGAGCGTTTGACAGTGATGAGGGTTGGTCGTTTGACCGCGGACCCATTACAGACGCAGGCAATAAGGCAGTGATCGCTGAGATCCTGGTTGAAGACAGCAGAGGTGTATTTAGAGGGTAAATTTGTCAGGATGATATATATGAGGGTGCCCATGTTTACAGATTTAGGGTTGTACCTGGTAGGTTCGTTGATAATTTGTGTGAGATTGAGGGCATCTAGTTTAGATTGTAGGTTGGCCGGGGTGTTAAGCATATCCCAGTTTAGGTCACCAAGCAGTACGAACTGAGGATAGATGGGGGGCAATCAGTTCACATATGGTGTCCAGGGCACAGCTCGGGCTGAGGGGGGTCTGTAGCAAGCGGCAACATTGAGAGACTTATTTCTGGAAAGGTGGATCTCTAGAGTAGATTGCAACCCCACCCCCTTTGGCAGTTCTATCTAGACGGAAAATGTTGTAGTTGGGGCTGGAAATGTCTGAATTTTTGGTGACCTTCCTAAGCCAGGATTTAGACACTGCTAGAACATCAGGGTTGGCGGAGTGTGCTAATGCAGTGAATAACTCAAACTTAGGGAGGAGGCTTCTGATGTTAATGTGCAAGAAACCAAGGCTTTTACGATTACAGAAGTCAACAAATGATAACGCCTAGGGAGTAGGAGTTATACTGGGGCCTACAGGGCCTTGGTTAACCTCTACATCACCAGAGGAGGAGGAGTAGAATGAGGATACGGCTAAAGGCTTTAAGAACTGGTCTTCTAGTGTGTTGGGTACAGAGAATAAAAGGGGCATATTTCTGGGAGTTGTAGAATAGATTCAGGGCATTATGTACAGACAAGGATATGGAAGGATATGAGTACAGTGGAGGTAAACCTAAGCGTTGGGTAACAATGAAAGAGATAGCATCACTGGAGGCACCGATTGAGTCGGTCTCCGCGTGTATGGGGGGTGGGACAAAGGAGCTTTCTAAGGCAGGTTGAGCTGGACTGGGGGCTCTACAGTGAAATAGTACAATAAGAAATAACCGAAACAGCAATAAGCAAGGCATATTGACATGGGAGAGAGGCATAAAGCAATCAAAGTTTGGGCTGAGGCTAAACATAAACAGGATGCGGTACTGTATAAAGGAACAGTCCAGCAGGCATCAGCTGTATAGCTGAGTTATCATAAGGTCCAGTGAACAGCAATAGGAGAGTTCGGAGGTAGTTCGGGGCTGCTACAGCACTGGCGAGCAAGAAGCACGGCTTGCGTGTGCTAGCGGGCTGGGGCTAGCAGATGGATCTTCGTGGTCGACGTCATAACGGGAAGCCTGTTGAAACCACATCAGACGATTTTGTCGGCAGACCAGTCGTGTTGGATCGGCGGGGCTCCGTGGCAACACTAGGAGGTCCCGTCCGGTTGACAGAGAGGTAGATAGCCGGGAGATGGGCCTGGCTCGAGGCTAGCTCAAGACTAACTGGTGCTTGCTAAGGGGCAATGGTAATTAGCCAACGACAACAGCCATTCGGTTGCCGCTAGCTAGTTGCGATGATCCGGCGCTAGGGTCCAGTGATTCCGGCAGAAAATCCGATATGCTCTGGGTCGATAGCACGCTGTGCAGACAGGCCGACAAATTGTCCAGGCTAGAGCTAGAGTTGGCTGGTGGGTAGTGCAGGCCACGGACAACAGTTTAGACCACTAACGGTGGCTAATAGCAAGTAGCTAGCTAGCTGGCTACCACAGCCATTCGGTTGCAGCTAGACCAGTTTCAGCTTAAGGTTCTTGATAAAAGTTATAAAGAACTAATAGAATCCTTTCCACGTTGGGTGAGGCGGGTTGCAGGAAAGTATATTTAGTTAAAGAATGAAAAGTACAATTGAGAAATATATACAAAATAGACAAAAAACTAAAAAAAACTGGCTATTTACCTGAGGACACGAAAGAAAACACGACAGCACTGCTCACTCACCTTGGACACGTTGTTTGCTTAGCTAGCATGACATTCCATACCTGTACACAGCAGTAGTTCAGACTATTTCCATCCAGTGTTTTTATTGTACATGTAATGCTATCTGACACATACTGCATTCCCTGGCATTCGCGATCATAACATTCCTACACAACACACACAGAGGAGAACAGTATGACAACTATAAAACTCTCATACAGTCTAACAATTCAATGTATCATCACTATTAGGGTGAACCAAGCTGGAGCATTAACAATACATATCTGCCTTGCTGAGAGAGGGGAAGGCAGCTCCCTGCAGGTCCTACTGAACAGAACAATGGGACCAGATTAGAAATGATCAAAGGATTCCTCAGCGCATGTCAACACACAAACACAGAATTGCCCTCACTTTCTCAGGAGCCCTTGTTGCACACCGAGCAGAGTGAAACAAGGTTGGATTCGTCTCCGACTTTGCCTCTCTTACATTTAAGGGAATGAAGGCTTCAAATATGTGAAAAACCTTGCTGATCCATTTACTGGCGTCTCAGTTCCTGACATGCGTTGCCTGGGGAACGGTTGCTAAGGGAGTGAAGGCAGCACACAGCCTGAATCCGAACTTCTTTCAACAAC